GTCGTCGGCGGCGGCGGTCTTCTGACGGCATTCGGCGGTCGTCGGCGGCTCCCGGCGGCCGTTGGAGCAGAAGCTGGAAGGGTGCGTTTGACAAGAAGGTCCACGATCGAACGATCGAACACCTAAGAGGACGGAGCACGGAGGCCTCGCCTCCCTCAAAGACCTACGACGTCTTGAAATGGGACGCACAGAGACATACTAATACTAGATGTCCTCCTTGGAGGCGCGCGTCCGACCCGAGCATGTAGCATACCCACCTTGCAGCACATCGAGCGGCGTGGCCAGAAAGCGCCCTCCACGACGCACATGCTAGAAGATTTCTCGGTGCGCGCGTCGCCCCTGGGGGGGGGGGGGGGGCGACGCACATCCAGTACAAGCACGTTGGGGTGGCGCCGATGAGAAACCTGCGGCATCGCAAAAAGTCAGGACCGAAACCCTGGGCCCCATCACTCAACGGCACTTCTCGAGCCGCATCGAGCCGTGAGGGTCCCAGGGGCCCGAAGCCAGGCGGAAAGGCCCGCTGCGAAAACATACCAAACGCCGAGGACCCCGGACCCAAGAGACCTGCGCGGACCTCGAATTCTAGAACTTGCATTACTCCTCCTCCTCCTCTTCCTCCTCCTCCTCCTCCTCCTCCTCCTCCTCCTGCTCCTCCTCCTGCTCCTTCTCCTCCTCCTCCTCCTCCTCCTGCTCCTCCTCCTCCTCCTCCTCCTCCTGCTCCTCCTCCTCCTCGTGCCTTCTGGGTGCCCTCCAGGTCGGCCTTCTTCACGACGAGGGCCTGCTTCTCGTTCTTCACCTGGCCGGCAGCGAGCTGCGGCAAGGCCCGCGCACTGGCCAGAGGGAGGAGAGGATCGGGACAGCAGGGAGTGAGGGGCAACGATAGGGGCCCCCTCTGACTCCTCCCCTGGGCTTGCCGCCGATCGCTTGACGGGGGAAACGACAGGACGTTTGTTTCGGGACCCGAGGGTCTGGATCCGCAGGAGCAAAACGGATCATAAGCAAACAATATCGGAGGTCCGCGCGGATCTGTCTCCGTGGACTGCCGCCGTTGGCCGTGGGACTGGCACAAGGGGCGGGGACCATCGACCTGGAATCGGCGATGCATCGCCGATGGATCGGCGAGAGTTCCCCGATGGTGACTCCGCAAGTCCCTGGGCGGGCGGGGTGACCAGGCCCATGGCGGCGGAGGGATGGACGATTGGGGGGCGATGCCATCCCCACCTGTGCTTTTGGGTCGGGCATGTCCTCCTACAGACGGGTTCTGGAAGAAAACAAACAATAGCCAATCAATTACCAAACTACTCCAAGTCCCTTATGAATCGATCCCCCCCCCAAAACCGGACCCCCTCCAAATGCGACCTAATATTCCGGACCCCCCTCTTCGACGGGGCGCCTTAATAGACCGGACCCCCTAAGCTCCAATCCAAAGAAAGCGCCCTGATAAACCTGACCCCCCCGGGTGACCCCCCCAAATACAAAAATGCGCCCGAAAAACCCGAACCCGGGGGACGATTAATAAGGGATTTTGAATATAGGCGAACAAAAATATGAAACATCGCCACCAGACTATTTTCTACCATTCTTGAACATTCTGCCTGTAGGAAACGTGCCCGACTTACACCTACGCCCATCCCCCCCGATCGTTGCCCCTCAAGGCAGCAGGGGGGAAAGCAAGGAGCGTCTCGGTCGAACTCGCAGTGCTAGTTCCACGGTCTGTTCTCATCTGGCCAGGTCCAGGCCTCCCCGCTCGTCCCCGCGGCTGGAGCTCGAGACGCGATCGGCCTGCTCGAACCCAATCTGTCCGGCCCGCCGGCTCTTCCCACGCCGGGCGCCCAGCTTGCTCGGAGGGAGCGGGGCAAGGAGAAAACTGGGACGCACAAGGACATGCTAGTACTACGCAGCCTCATCGGAGGCGTGCGTCCGACCCGAACATCTAGCACAGTCATCCTGTCGTGTACCTACTCCCGAGCGGTATGGCCAGAAAGCGCCCGCCACGAAGCCCTGTCGTCCCTTTGGGGACGACGCACACATAGCATCAGCAGGAGAGCGCAGAATCGAATCGATAGGTCGGATCGGCGATCGAAGTGAATCGGACCGACGGAAATCGGCAGCCGAGCCGGGAGAAATCGAATCGGCGGAAAGCGGCAAGGTAATAGGCCTCCACTGAGAAACCGGAATCCAATTAATCGGCAGGATAGTAGGCCTCCATTGAGAAATCGGAATTCGATTCGGAATCCGAGATCAAATCTAGTCGGCTCGTCCCTGTCCTCCTCCTTCTCCTCGTCCTCCTCCTCCTCTTCCTCCTCCTCCTCCTCCTTCGCTTCCTCCTCCCCCTCCTAGCCCCTTCGATGATCAGGGTCGGCGGCACCGGCCGTCAGGCCTCTCCAATAGGAAGCCATCGAAATCGAATCGAACCGAGTCGGATGAGTTGAAATGAGCCCTGGTATTCATTAGTATGCTTGGGTGACGCCGAGGGCAGGGGAGGAAGGGACCCAGGCTGGAGAGCGCTGTGCCCCCCCGACGTGCGGCAGCCGAGCGGGAGAGCAGGGCACCGCGAGGCCACGAGCGAGAGCGGCCAGGGAAACGGGCGTCGAGGCAATCGTCATCTTCTGCTTGCTCTGACCGCGAAGGGTCTCTCAACCCCCAGAAAGATTGGGCGAGAGAGGATCAGCTGGATGTTTTTCTGCCTCAGAAGCCTATCGGTTGCGTGCTAGGCACCAGCCTTAGCACCTGCTCAGCCTCTTCTGAACCAAGAAGGTACTGACTGTGAAAGCCACGATAGAGAACTGGCAGGGGCAAACATTTAGTGAACACCCCCAGCGCGTTCAGACGAAACGTTTGGGGACCGCCTATTTCTGCTTGCTCTAATCGCGAAGGGTTTTTCACCCCCCCTCACACCTCAAGGATGCGAAAACCAATACGTAGCTCTGCGCGGGATGATTGAGGGGTGGGGGGCCCGAACAAGACTGGGAAAAGAATTGTTCCCCGGCTGCGGCCACCGCTGATGATCGGGAGCGGCGATGAGGATTCCTGGAGGTGACGATGTTGATGGTGATGATGGTGGTGATGATGATGATGGTGGTGGTGGTGATGACGACGCTGATGATGATAATGATGATGATAATGATTATGATGATACTGTTGATGATGATGGCTGCGGTGATAATGATGACGATGACGATGACGATGACGATGATGATGACGATGACGATGCTGATGATGATGATTGTGTTGCTGATGGTGATGGTGATGGTGATGATGGTTATGATGATGGTACTGGCGCTGCTCATGATGATGTTGATCATGGTGAAGATGATGAGTATGGCGATGACGGTGATGGTGATGGTGATTATGGTGGTGATGCTGGTGATGATGGTGATGACGACGACGCTGATGGTACTGATGATGATGATGATGAAGGTGATGCTGATGGGGAGGATTAGGAATAATGGAATGATGATGATGCAGATGATAATGATGATGATGATGATTATGATGATGATGATGAATATGATGCTTATGATGATGAGGGTGATGGTGATGATGGCAATGATGGTGATGATGATGATGAGAATGATGACGAGGAGAGAGATGATTATGAGGATGAGGATGGTGATGGTTATGATAATAATGCTGATGCTGATGAGGATGAAGATGACGATGCAAATGATGAAGATGATGACGATGCGTGTGATGATGATCATTGAGATGATGATGATGATGATGATGATGATGATGGTGATGGTGATGATGATGATGATGATGATGATGATGATAATGGTGATGATGATGATGATGATGATGATGATGATGATGATGATGATGACGGTGATGATGACGGTGATGATGATGATGATGATGATGATGATGATGATTACTGGCATGATGATGATGAAGAGGGGGAGGGGAGGGCCGAGTCTTATTGCCAGCCGAAAGCTTTTGGGGGGAGCCCCGGCAGCATTAAAGACCCTCTGAGATGAACGGGACTGTCAAACGGCACGCACGTGAACATTCGAAGACCCGCGTGGACTTCTGGAATCGGCACTGAGAGCCCTCTGCGTGGCGAGTTGAGCGCGCCAGGGGCGGCGCCGGAGGCGCCGCCAGGGGGGCCCCGGCGCCGATCCAAGAAATCTGCGTGAAGCTCCGAGACACTGTTTTTTATGCATCTGTCGCCTCTTCGAGGAGAGCCGCCGGGAATGAAAAGAAACAATCGTCGGAGGTCTGGATTCAACATGAAATGCCAGGCTACCCTCAGGTCGGGCATGTCCTCCTACAGGCGGACTTTCGCCGAAAATTAAAGAAAATACAACACACCAAACAAAATCCAAAATATGTTAAGTTGGGCATGTCCCCCTACAGACGGAATTGGGCCCATATGTATGTATATATATATATATATATATCTATTATTTTATTTGTTGTTACACAAATAAAAAAAACGCTCAACAATGATCCCAAAATAATCAAAAAATCGTCCCCCGACTATTTTCTGACTATTTTTGAACATTCCTCCTGTAGAGGGACATGCCCGACTTAAGGCACATTGAAAATGTCGGACGTTGCCAGAAGTGTCCCAGGCCCAGGGCTTCCCCAGGAATTCCGAGGAGGCCCCCACGGCCTCCAGAGCACCCCTCACCCCTCAAGCGGCCCCGAGGGCGCCAGGGGCTCCAACGTGGAGCGAAAACTGGTGGCACTTCGGGCCAGGCCCACACTGTAGGGCTGGGCGCCAGCTCAGCCCAGGTCGGTTTGAAGGATCGGGGCGGCGAGCGCAAAAGCACAGCGCAGGCACACAGACGCAGCATCTGAAAGCCTCCGAGCCCTTCTGCAAAGGCCCCTGCCTTCTGAAAGCCCCGCCACCTTCTCAGAAGGCCGCCCCCGTCACAGCGCCGCGGGAAATGGCAAATGGGAGCCAGGCGCGTTCCCGAAGAGGCCCAGCGCACGGGCGCGTGACAGGGAGCCGGCTCCGTCTGAGCGTAAAGCACACCGCAGGCACACAGACGCAACAACACAATAGTATACAGGCGAAGCCAGCAAGGCTGCAGCAGAAAAACCCGAACACGAGGAGGAGAAAGGTGATGCTCCTCCTATTGCCCTGGTTCCTCCGTCTCTTGCGACTCTTGCATGGTCCTCGCCCCCTGCTCATCCGTCTTCTGCCCCTCTAAATGCTCCTACCAGCTCTCGTATTCTTGGCTTGCTTCGATGAATATGCTGGTCCCACGAGGTCTGAGCAGGCCTCCGAAGAGCGCAGTCAACCCGTATAATAAGGACGCACGATGAGGATGCAAGGGCCTTGCAAGGCCATGTCGAGGCTCCTCGAGCGGGGCACGCCCAGCTAAAGTGGCCAAGGATGGGCCGAAGGGACAAGGATGCAAGGGTACCCTTGGGAAAGATACCCATCCTTATCATGCGGTTTGACTGCATGTGTATGCTGTGTAATGTTCCTCGATGCTCACACTGGCTTGCCTTGGCGCTGAGGTGCTTTGTGTCCGTCTCCTTGGCCGCAAGGTCGACCTTGGAGTCGCTCATGAATGAGTCGTACTCCTCGGCCCGCCGAGGCAAGGAGAGCGGAGGCGAACGAAGGGCGGAAGCATTCTCCTCCTCCTTCTCCTCCTCCACTTCCTCCTCCTCATCCTCCTCCTCATCCTTTCCCTCCTGCTCATCCTCCTCCTGCTCCTCCTCCTCCTCCGCCTCCTCCTCCTCCTCCCCCTCCTATATTGTTTCGCAATTGCTCTGACTCCTCACTCATCAGCATCATCATCATCAGCAGCATCCTCCTCCTCCTCATCATCATCAGTAGCAACAGCAGCATCATCACCAGCATCATCACTACCACCATCACCATCCACCACCACCACCACCACCACCATCATCATCATCATCATCATCATCAGCATCATCATCAGAACCATAAGCAGCATCATCATCATCATCATCATCATCATCATCATCATCATCATCATCATCATCATCATCATGATCATCATCATCATCATCAGCATCATCATCATCATCATCATCACCATCACCACCACCACCACCATCATCATCATCATCACCATCACCACCACCACCACCATCATCATCATCATCAGCATCATCAGCATCATTAGCATCATCATCATCATCATCATCATCATCATCATCATCATCATCATCATCATCAGCATCATCATCGTCGTCTTGTCGTCGTCGTCGTCATCATTATGGTCATCACCGTCGCATTTTAGTTCAACCGACCGCACGGCCCTCTTCCGCGTCTCCTCCTGGCGGCGGCGCGCATGGCGGCCGCGATGGCGGCGTCCTTGGTGGAGGCGGCCGTGCTCGGCACCGTGCTGGCCCCAGCGCCGAGGCATACCGCTACCGCCGTGGCACGCTGGGCCCTCTCTGCCGCGCTCTTCGCGCGCAGGGAGGGGCCAGAGCCGCCCGCTGCTTGTGAGGCCGATGGCGCAACTGCTGCTGATGAGTCGCCCACAGCTTCGGTGGCGAAGGCGGCGCTGCGGCGGAAGAGGAGGAGGAGGAGGAGGAGGAGGAGGAGGAGGAGGAGGAGGAGGAGGGGGGGGAGGAGGAGGAAGAGGGGCGTGGGCCCGCTGGCCGCAGGAGCTCAGGCGGCGGTCATCGGGGGCGCGCGCGCAGGCGAGAAGGGCGTCCTCCCGTCCCGCGGGCCGCGCAGAGCGCCGAGCGGGGCGGGCCGGGCCGCGCCTCGCGTCGCCGAGGGCGGCGCGGGGCTCTCTCTGAGCTCCGCCGTGTGCGTCGGCTGGCGAGGCCCGCCCGGCCCGATGGGGGCGGCGGCGGCGGCGGGCGGCGCCTGAAGAGGGCGTGAGGGGCCCAGCAGCGCCGCAGGCGCGGGCGCGCTCCTGCTCCTTCTCCTCCCCCTCACCATTCCCCTTCCCCTTCCCCTCCCCAGACGATGTCTGGCCGGCGACAAAAAATACAAAAAATACCAGCATCATCATCATCATCATCATCATCATCATCACCACCACCACCACCACCACCACCACCACCACCACCATCATCATCATCATCACCACACCACCACCACCACCACCACCACCACCACCACCACCACCATCATCATCATCATCATCATCATCATCATCATCATCATCATCATCATCATCATCATCATCCATCATGATCATCATCATCATCCTCCTCCTCATCCTCCTCATCATCATCCTCATCATCATCCTCATCATCATCATCAGCAGCAGCATCATCAGCAGCATCATCATCATCATCAGCATCCTCAGCCTCAGCCTCAGCCTCAGCATCAGCATCATCATCATCATCATCATCGGCATCATCATCAGCATCATCATCATAATCAGCATCAGCATCAGCATCATCATCATCATCAGCAGCATCATCATCATGTTCATCATCATCAGCAGCAGCATCAGCAGCATCATCATAATGGGCAGCATCATCATCATCGTCATCAGCATCTTCATCAGCAGCATCATCGTCAGCGTCATCATCATCATCATCATCATCATCATCATCATCATCATCATCATCATCATCGCCGTCGTCGTCGTCGTCATCATCAGCAGCAGCCGCACCATCATCATCATCGTCGTCATCGTCATCAGCAGCAGCATCAGCATCAGCAGCATCATCATCATCAGCCTCATCATGATCATCATGATCATCATCAACGGCATCATCATTAGCGTCGTCGTATTCGTCATCATCATCGTCATCGCCATCACCAGCATCAGCATCGACATCGGCATCATCAGCATCATTATCATTACCATCATCAGCATCATTACCATCGGCAGCAACAGCATCAACATCGTCATCATCATCATCATCATCACCCTGTATCCTCCTCCTCCTCATCATCATACTCCCTTCCTACTCCTGTGTTATCATCCTGCTCCTCCCTCCCATTCCCTCCCCTTCCTCCTCTTCCTCCTCCTCCTCCTCCTCGACCCCCTCCCTCATCAGCATCTGCTCGCCTTCCTTCAAATCATTCCTCCCTCCTTTCGTCCTTCTTCGCTCACCCACCCGAGCCGTCCCAGGCCACACTTACGTTCGGAAACACCCTACAAGACAACCCGCGGGCAAAACCAAGGGAGGATCCACATGACAACCTACTGGACAACCCTCGCAGCAACGCACGGGACAACCACGATACAGCACCAACAATGACCAATCTACAAGCTTGCGGATCAAACCACCGGGCACCCAATGGGACAACCCATAGGGGCAACACAGAACACAATCCACGGGACAACCTGCGAGCAACCCACGGCACAACGCGACAACCCGCGGGACACCTCCACGGCACCCGCGCGGCCGAGGAGAAACTAATTGTCCGACTGGGCCCCATCTACGCCGATACCTCGCCACCATCGCGCGGTTTCGCATCGCCCGCACGCGCGACACGGCACGAAACCGACACGGATGCCTCGTTTGAGGTCGCCTCATGGTCGCCCTCCGACCTCCGACCCAGCCTTTATCCCTAGCTGTGCCGCCACCAGTGCGCTAGAGTGAACTAAATCTGCAGGAAGGCAGGCAAACACAATAGCATGGCGAAGGACCCACCCATCTGCAGTTGCACACGCCGTCGCTGTATGCACCGCATTCGGAGGAGCTCCCTACAGGGCCACGAGACGTGCGAGGGGTGTGCCAAAATGTGTGCGGTGGGCGTGTGCGATGCGAACGCAGCCACCTGGGCCTTCGGTGGAGCCCCATGTGGGGGCACGGGACGTGTGAGGGGTTTGCCGAATGGGTGCGGTGGGCGCATATGAACGCAGCCACTCGGGCCGTCGGTGGAGCTACCCATGGGGGCACAAGACGTGTGAGGGGTGTGCCAACAAGGGTGCGGTGGGCGCATGCGAACGCAACCACTCGGGCTGTTGGTGGAGCTCCATGTGGGCGCACGAAACCTGCGAGGGCTGTGCCGACAGGGGTGCGGCGAGCGCACGCGAACGCAACCAGTGGGGCCTTCGGTGGAGCTCCCCATCGGGCCACGAGGCGCTGCACAAGGTGGGGGAAACGAATAGGGGAGTGAGGAGGAGGAGTGAGGAGGAGTGGGGAGGAGGAGGAGGAGGAGGAGAAATATGAGGAGGAGGAGGAGTGAGGAGTAAGGAGTGAGGAGTGAGGAGGAGGTAGGAGGAGGAGGGGGAGGAGGAGAGAGAGGAGGAGGGAGGAGGGGAGGAGGGGAGGGGAGGAGGGGGAGGGGAGGAGGAGGGGGGAGGAGGGAGGAGGAGGAGGAGGAGGAGGGGGAGGAGGGGGAGGAGGAGGGAGGAGGAGGAGGAGGAGGAGGAGGGAGGAGGAGGAGGAGGATGAGGAGGAGGAGGAGGAGGAGTGAGGAGGAGGCGTGGGGCGCTGTGTCTTCGGCTGGGAACAGACCAAAGGCAAAATTAAGCACGGCAAATATACATACGTATACATACAGATGTGCGCTATACTAAAAAACGCAACGCTGGAATTCTCAATCATCTCCACTCCTCCAGCTCATAATCGTCCCCCGCGCATTCCCCTTACCTCTCTTTACTGCTCCTCCTCCTCCTCCTCCTCCTCCTCATCATCATCATCATCATCATCAGCATCATCATCATCGTCGTCCTCCTGGACATCACTCCTCCTTCTCCTCCTCCGTCTCCTCCTGCTCCTCCTCCTGTTCTTCCTCCTCCTCTCCCCTTCCTCCTCCTCCTCCTACCTCCTCCTCCACATCCACCTACAACCCCAGTGGTCGTCCCTACTCCTCCTCATCCTCAACCTCGCCCTCCTGCGTTGCTTTGCAACTGCTCTGACTCCTGAGTTCCCCACCACAACAACAACACCACCAACACAAACAACCACAACAACAACAACAACAACAACACCAACAACAACAACAACAACAACAACAACAACAACAACAACAACAACCACAACAACAACACCAACAACAACAGCAACAACATCAACAACAACAACGACAACACCAACCACCACCACAACAACTACCATAACAACAACGACAACAACAACAATGATTTTAAAACTGCTCGCCCGTATCTGCTCGAGTGTCCAATAACGCCTATTTTCCAAACCCTCGATACCCGCCCTCTTCTTCTTCGATCGAACCCCTTTTGCGGGGTATACCTTTCTTCCCTGCAGGCCGGGCCCCGGCAAGCGGCGGGGCGGCCGCGGACCGTGCTTGGCCAGCGGCAGCGCTGATCGGCGGGGCGGCCGCGGAGCGTCGACCCGACCCCAAGATGGACGGACAGGGGACCGACCACGACGACGACGACGACGACGACGTCGACGACGACGGCGACGACGACGACGACGACGACAGCGACGACGACGACCAGCGAAATCGAGAGCGAAAGAGAACGACAGCAGGACCACAAGGACACGAAGTAGGCCACGAAGGGCAACAGCGGGGACACGAAGGGAATGCGTATGGGGCCACGAGGAGTGCGAACGAGCGGGGGCCACGAAGGGCAGATAATGCGGGACCACAGAAGGCAACGATGGGGCCACTGAGGGTAGCAACTGGGCCACGTAGGACAGATGCATATGGGGCCACCACGGGCGCGAACGAGCGGGGGCCACGAAGGGCATACAGATATGGGGCCACGAAGGGCAGCGAGGGGGCCACGAAGGGATGCAACGGGGCCACGAAGGGCAGCGAGGGGGCCACGAAGGTCTGCAACGGGGCCACGAAGGGCTGCGAGGGAGCTACGAAGGGCAGCGAGGGGGCCACGAAGGGCTGCAACGGGGCCACGAAACAAAGCGAGGGGGCCACGAAGGACGACAACGGGGCCACGAAGGGCAGCGAGGAGGCCGCGAGGGGCTGCAACGGGGCCACAAAGGACAGCGAGGGGGCCACGAAGGGCTGCAACGGGGCCACGAAACAAAGCGAGATCCCGATTCCTATGTAATCTGTGAGGGAGTCCTAAGCGTGAGCGCGACTCCTGGGTGCCAGGGTGTCGGGAGCGCGGCGCTTGAGTAAATTGCAAGAAATTCAAACGCAAGGGCGCTATTCTTCAGTAAATTGCAAGCAAGACTAAGTCTCCAGCGAGAGCGCGACCCCAGAGCGCCAGGATAATAAATTCCCAGAAAGTCCCAAGCGAGAGCGCGATTCCTGAATAAAAGGCGATGAAATCTCGGGCGGGAGCGGGGGTCCTGGCTAAATTGTGAGGAAGTCTCCGGCGGGAACCGTTGTTGTTGTAAACCGGGGGCCAACGACACAGTTTGACCCTCAAGACTTCCCCTGAGAAAAAAGGGTGCGAGCCCCGGAAAGGGCACTTCAATCGAGGAAAAGTGATGTGCACCCGACGGGGGGATCAACAATACTTATTCTTCAGAAATGAAACAACAACAACAACAACAACAACAACAATTACTAGCACGTGGGGACACTCCGTTCTCACCAGTGCCAGGGTTTTCATAGGAGGCGGGCAATACCCCCACTTTGTGGGGGGGCCGGTTCAAGCTCTACCAAATTTCCAAACGACTCTTCGCCACCACCCACACCCAGCTTCCCGCCCTATGACGTTCGGACACTTCACTTCGTGGCATGCGGACGACCGTGGCTACTATTCAGGGCCCCGCGGCCGACGACGACGGCGTGCGCGCGCGAAGAAAAAACGAATGTGTCCCGCATGGTATTATTTGACAGGGATGATGGCCCTGGCAGGTGCGCAACCGTTGTTGCAGAAGTTCGAAAAAGTTGCTCGCAAAAGCCCGTTTGACAGAAATGTTTAAAAAGTGTTGGGTTTCCTACGAATCCGCAAGAGCGCGCGGGATGAGATTTTGACATTTTTTTGTTGAAAAACCATTGGTTTTTTGATGTTTTTATGTTAAAATCGCTCCGAACACTAAGCTTTTGGAAGGATTTCGTCTTGCGCGCGCGAATGTCCACTTTACCTTATTTTTTGCAAGGGATTCTTGAAGTTTGGTTATGTTAGAACAAGAAATGTCCACTTTAGCTTATTTTTTGCAAGGGAAAGCGGGGGGGAACAAAACAACCGGATCCGGACCAACCCGTTTTGCCTGAGACTTCCTCACGAAAATGATGGAAATGTGGCTGCGGCCTAGGCGCGGCGAGGGGGCCGCGCACCAGGGGTCCCAACAATAATTATTCTTTAGAAGTAATAATGTTCAACAACAACAACAACAACCACAACAACAACAAAAACAAAAACAACAACGACAACCACAACCACAACGACAACGACAACGACAACGACAACGACAACGACGACAACAATGACGACGACGACAAAGACGACAACCACAACCACAACCACATCCACAACAACAGCAACAACAGCAGAAACAACAACAACAACAACAACAACAACAACGTCAGCAGCGTCACCACCACCATCATCATCAGCATGATCATCATCATCAGCATCATCATCATCATCATCATCAGCAGCAGCAGCAGCATCAGCATCAGCATCACCATCATCAGCAGCAGCATCATCATCATCCACCACCACCATCATCACCAACACCACGACCACCACCGCCAACACCACCAGCACCATCATCATCAGCATCCTTATCAGAAGCATCAGCATCGCCAGTATCACCATCATCGTCATCATCACCATCATCAGCAGCATGAATATTATCATCAGCAGCATCAGCATCACCATCACCAGCATCATCACCATCAGCAGCATAATCATCATCCACCACCACCATCATCACCAACACCACGACCAACACCGCCACCACCACCAGCACCATCATCATTAGCATCATTATCAGCAATATCAGCATCGCCATTATCACCATCATCGTCATCATCACCATCGTCATCATCAGCATGAATATTATCATCAGCATCATCATCAGCATCGTCATCACCAGCAGCATCATCATCAGCATCATCATCGTGAACAACATCATCATCAACATCATCATCACCAGCATCATCATCCTGCATTCTCCTCCTCCTCCTCCTCATCCTCCCCCTCCCTCCTCCCTACATGCAATGACGACGAAGACGACAACGACGAAGACGACGAAGACGACGAGGACGGCAGCGGCGCCAACGACGGCGACGAAGACCAGCGTGGCCGCCGAGGGCCGCCGAAAGCCGATAGCGCCGACCGCACCCAGGCCGCCACGGGTCCTGCTGCGCGGCCGTCTCGGCGGCCTGGGGAGATCGGGGGCGGCACAGTTGTACACATTCATGTATGAGCACATGCATGCAGGCATCCATACATACATAATTCCATGCGTGCACACCTGCATGTATCCATCCGTACATGCATACATACATATACGTATAAACATGCATACACATGTACATATACAAGGAGATGTGCAGGTTCTAATACACAGATACACACACACCTGTGTGCATGTGCGAGTATATACATGTATACACTAGAACCACGCGCGCGGTACGCGCGCGCTAGGTTCTAGCCGACAGTGCGGTCGTTGTCAATAGACCTTGCGCTGATCCTCGAAACTCGAAGTACCCAGGGAGAGGTTCCCCAGGCCAGGGCCGCCCTTGCGTGGAGGTGCTTGGCCTTCTGGTGGGGCTTCGGGCTCGGCGGGCGTTCGCGGAGCCGTGCTATGACCGACGTGCGACGCGTCGGAAGGCTCCGAATGCTTCCCAGACTGCGCAAGTGCTGTGACTGCCACGGTGGCCGAGGAGGGCCCCAGAAGCTCTGGGCCGGCAGGCCGTCGCCGCCGCCGCCGCCCCCGCGGGCGCCGCCGCCGCAGCCGCCGCCGCCGCCGTCGCGATGATGGTCGTGGTGGTCGTCGTAGTGGTCATGGTGGTTGTGGTGGTGGTCGCCGTCTGTGAACGTGAACGGAGGGTTGCACGCTCTGGGGCGTGGTTTGCTTTTCTGGGGCCTCCGGACTCTGGAGATCTGTGGGCCACCTCCAGGGCCTCCAGAAACCTCCTGGGGCTCTCCTGAAACTCTCGCAGGCCCCCACGAGAGATTTGGAGGATAGCCTGGGAGGGCCCAAAGGGGCGCCAAGGGAGCTCGCCGGCAGGCCCCAGAGCCCCAACAATTGAACACTGATTTTACACGCCGCCGTCCTTGACGAGGAAGCGGTTTGTGCTAAATGTATACTAAGATTGAGGCCCTCTAAGGGCCGCGTCTCGGAGCTCTCCTGGGGCGTCTTGGGCGCCTCTAGGACCGGCTTGGGGTTCTCTTGGGCCGTCTTGGGGCCCTCTTGGGCCGTCTAGGGGCGGTCTTAGGGGGCCTGTTGAGACGTCGTGGGGCGCCAGAAGCTCGACAAGTGGAGTTCTCCGAGAACACAGAAAGATCAATGGAGAAGAATTGGTTTGCCTCGTGCGGCCAGTTGGGGAGCGTTCCTGGACACCCCGTGGGCCGTCGGGGGGCATCTCGGGGCATTTGGGGGCATGTGCGGGACGCGCGCCCGCAGACGCCCCCCGGTCGGGTGCTGCTAATTAGCAGTGCCCCTGGCCAAAGGCGCTCCCAGGATTTCCAAGGGGGACCCCCCCGGCCTCCAGAACGCCCCTCACGAGGCCCAGAGGGCCCCAGGGGCTCCAACATTGAGCGCAAAACTGGAGGCACCTTGGGCCAGGGGCCCTTTTGAGCGATCCCCGACCCAGACATGCTCGCGTCGTGGCAAAATCAGGGCGGGAGGTGTTGGGCCTTTTTCGGCCCCTGGGAGCCCTCGCCATGTCCCCGGACAGTCAAAGAACGGCCCGGGATGAAACGCTGGCCCTGAGGAGAGGATCGGGACTTTCAGGGACCCCGTATTGAAAATTAGCCTGGCGAAGGACCCAACCGTATGCAGTTGTGAGTACCGCAATTATAAATATGTTCTTCGGTGGCGCTCCCTATGGGGCCGCGAACCCTGAGAGGCGTGTGCCGAAATGGGTGCGGCGGACGCATGCGGACGGTGGCACTGGGGCCTTCGTTGGAGCTCCTCATGGGACCGCGAAACGTATAGTGGGTGTGCCGAAATGGTTGTAGGGAACGCATGCGGACGGCGGCACTGGGGCCTTCGGTGGAGCTCCCTCTAAAGCCGCAAAACGCGTGAGGGGTGTGCTGGCATGGGCGTGGGTGACGCATGCGAGCGGTGGCACTGGGGCCTTCGGTGAAGCTCCCTATGGGGCCGAAGCGCGTGAGGGGTGTACCGAAATGGGCGTGGGTGATGCATGCGGGCGGTGGCACTGGGGCCTTCGTTGGAGCTCTCTGTGGGGCCACGAAACGTGTGAGGGGTGTGCCGAAATGGGTGTTGGGGTCGCATGCGGGCGGTGGCACTGGGCCCGTCGGTGGTGTTCCCTATGAGGCCACGAAACGTGGGCGGGGTGTGCTGGAATGGGCGTGGGGGACGCATGGCGGGCTTCGGTGGAGCTCCCGATGGGGCCACGAAACGTGTGCGGGGTGTGCCGAAATGGGTGTGGGTGACGCATGCGGGCGATGGCACTGGGGCCTTCGGTGGAGCTCCCCGTGGGGCCGCGAAGCGCGTCAGGGGTATGCCGAAATGTGGGGGACGCATGCGGGCGGTGGCACTGGGGCCTTCGGTGTAGCTCACTATGAGGCCTCGAAGCGTGGGCGGGGTGTGCCGGAATGGGCGTGGGTGACGCATGCGGGCGGTGGTATTGGCGCCTTCGGTGGGGCTCCCTATGGGGCCGCGAAGCGCGTGAGGGGTGTACCGAAATGGGTGTGGGGGACGCATGCGGGCGGTGGTACTGGGGCCTTCGGTGGAGCTCCCTGAGGCCGCGAAACACGTGAGTGGTGTGCCGAAGTGGGTGTTGGGGACGCATGCGGGCGGTGGCACTGGGGCCTTCGGTGGAGCTCCCTATAGGGCCACGAAACGCTGTACTGTGTGGGAAAAGCAAGAGGGGGAGGAGGGAGGAGGGGGAGGGAGGAGGCGGGAAGAGGAGAACGCGGGGCGCCGTCTCTTCAAAACGAGGACCCAACACCACAGGATGGTCAGGAAAAATCAAGACGTATCATGTCTGGGCGTTGTCGCCCGGTTTCAAGGATCGGGACCTTGGCAGATCGATCCGGCTCGAAAAGTGGAGCAACAAAAATTGGGTCAGGGGCTCCGGTTGAAATTTTGCGCGATGTTGTTGATGGGGTCGGAAGATGGCGCCGCATCGCCAATGCATCTCAGATGCATCGGCGATGCGTCGGCGACGTCGGCGATGCATCGGCGCCGTCGGCGGTGACAACATCGAGATCCACGTCGAGCCGCATCGGCAATGTTTCGGCGGTGCGGCGCGAGCCTCCGACCCTATCAATTCTTGTTCGGCCCAGGACCCAAATCACGGACGACCCTGCGATCTGGGCGTCGCATTTGTCTCACACTGTGCGTTTTCGCCCGGCCACGGGACTCGGGACCATCACGGATCGATCCGGCTGAAGAAGATATGGTGCAGCCCCATAGGGAGCTCCCCCGGCGGCAGTGCTACCGCCCGCATGCGCCCCCATTTCGGCACAACCCTCACACGTTTCGTAGCCCCATAGGGAGCTCCACCGACGGCAGTGCTACCGCCCGCATGCGCCTCCCACGCCCATTTCGGCCCACGCCCATTTCAGCTCCACCGAAGGCCCCAGTGCCACCGCCCGCATGCTTCACCCACACCCACTTGGTCACATCCCTCACGCGCTTCGTGGCCCCATAGGGAGCTCCACCGAAGCTCCCAGTGCCACCGCCCGCATGCGTCACCCACACCAATGTGGTCACACCCCTCACACGCTTCGTGGCCGCATAGGAAGCTCCAACAAAGGCCCCAGTGCCACCGCCCGCATGCGTCACTCGCGCACATTCGGGCACACCCCTCACGCGCTTCGCGGCCCCATAGGGAGCTCCACCGAAGGCGCCAATACCACCGCCTGCATGCGCCACCCACGCCCATTCCGGCACACCCCTCACGCGCTTCGCGGCCCCATAGGGAGTTCCTCCGAAGCCCCCAGGGGCTGCGTTCGCATGCGTCCCCCATCCCCTCACGCTGTCGTGGCCTCATGGGGAATTCCACCGACGGCGCCAGTGGCTGCTTTCGCATGCGCCCACCGGGCAAATCTTGGCAAAACCCTTCACACGCTTCGTGGCCGTATCCTCCGAATGCGGTGCGTGCAACGACGGTATTCACAACTGCATACGGTTGGGTCCTTTGCCAGGCTAATTTTGTTCTTTCCCAGGTAGCGGTCGTTATCCGGGGGGGGGTCGGGCGGGAAAAAAAAGCAACGGCGGCCGCGGCGCACAACCGTGAGGGTGCGTCCGCGCCACCGGCACATCAATCGCTCGCGCACCCTCAGCATGTGGAGGGAGTCGAGGCCACCTCCCCTCAGTGGCGGGGACCCCACAAGACCCACACCCGCGCGGCGGCTGACATGGACCATGGCCAAGGTCGGCATCAACGAATACCGCGACATATTGGCAATGGTTCCCGTGTTTCTTGCCTCGTCTTTGGGACCTACCTGGGAGGCTCAGAGCATGCGAGTTCGGACCGAGGCGCTGCCCTCTGGAAGGTCACTCTGGGGCCTCGCAGGGGGCCCGGGAACATGAGTGCTGCCTCCAGCGACAAGAGGAGGAGGAGGAGGAGGAGGAGGAGGAGGAGGAGGAGGAGGAGGAGGGGCAGAAGGGGAGGCGGGCTGAGGCAGGACAGATGATAACGACATCGAGGGGGTCATGGGGGGAAGCAAGAGGCGGGGGACGAGAAATGATAACGTAGCCCTACTCAGCTGCTGCTCCTCCCTCCCGTCTTCCCCTGGTTCTTCCTTTCTGTTCCTCCTGACTCTCCGCTATCGTCATTCCCTGACTCCTACCTTCGACTTTTCGTGGTCAGTTTGGTTTCGTCTCTCCTTCTCCTTCCCAAGCGTCCCGCCCCCCTGCGGATCTGGGCCATCCCGGGCCATCCCTGGCACCGCTGTCCCGTGACTGCAAGGAACTCCCAGGAGGGCTTCAAGACGGCTCAGGACGCCCTCGAAAGAAACGACGATGACCACAAGGCTTCCAAGGACGGGGCCCTCTTGAGCCGTCTCGGGGCGGTCTTAGGGGCCTTTTGAGACGTTGTAGAGCGCTGAAAGCTCGAAAAGTCGAGACTTTCGAAAACACAAAAAAAATCGAAGGACAATCATTAGTTGTTGCCTTTTGCGGCCATCTGAGAAGCGCTCATCGAGTCCTCTCGGGCCGCCTGGGGGCATCTTGGACGGAAAACTCGAAGTCCTCATCCTCATCCTCATCCTCATCCTAATCCTCATCCTCATCCTCATCCTCATCATCATCATCATCACCACCACCATCATCATCATCATCATCATCATCAGCATCATCATCATCGTCATCGTCATCACCATCACCATCAACATCATCATCATCATCATCAGCAGCAGCATCGTCATCATCATCATAATGACCATCCTTATCAGCATCATCATCAGCAATCATCATCACCATCATCGTCATCGTCATCGTAATACTCCTCCTCCACCTCATCCTCATCATCCTCATCCTCATCCTCATCCTCCTCCTCATCCTCATCGCCCTCATCATCCTCATCATCCTCATCCTAATCCACATCATCATCCTCCTCATCCTCCTCATCCTCATCCTCCTCATCATTATCAGCATCATCATCATCACAACCACCATCATCATCATCATCACCATCACCACCACGATCATCATCACCACCACCATCATCACCACCACAATCATCTTTTCCACCACCACCACCACCGTCATCATTATCATCATCACCATCATCACCATCATCACCATCATCATCATCATCCTCATCATCCTCATCATCATCATCAACATCAGCATCGTCGTCATCATCAGCATCATCAGCATCAGCATCAGCATCATCATCATCGTCGTAATCAGCATCAACATCATCATCATAATCGTCATCAGCATCATCATCCTCATCTTCATCGCCCTCATCGTCCTCATCCTCATCATCCCCATCCTCATCGTCCTCATCCTCATCATCATCATCATGATCAGCAGCATCGTCATCATCATCGCCAGCAGCATCATCATCATCATCATCATCATCAGCAGCAGCAACATCAGCGTCAGCATCATCATCCTGTTCACCATCATCATCATCATCAGAATAATCAGTATCGTCATCAACATCAGCATCATGATCGCCAGCATCATCATCATCATCACCATCAGCATCATCATCATCATCAGCATAAGCATCATCAGCATCAGCATCATCATCATCGGCATTCTCATCATCGGCAGCAGCATCATCATCAGCATCATCAGCAGCATCAGCATCATCAACCGCATGATCAACAACATCATCATCATCATCAGCAGCAGCAGCAGCAACATCATCATCATCATCATCATCAGCAGCAGCAGCAGCAGCAACATCATCATAATCATCATTATCGCCTCCTCCTCGGCCTCCCCAGCCTCCTCCTCCTCCCCCACCTCCCCAAGCTCCTCATCCTCATCCTCATCCTTCTCCTCCCCAGCGTCCTCCTGCTCCTCCTCCGCCTCTTACACTCATCTTCCCACCCAGCCCCCCCTCCCCCCAAAAACCAACACAAAAAAACGCGTGTCCGAGGTGTCGCCCTCGAGCCGCGCGAAGTCGGACTCGATGACCTCCAACATACCGATGACTCCGCCGGACTGGGGCAGCGAAGCCGTCACCGCTGGTCGCTATCGTCGTCGTCGTCGTCGTCGTCGTTGTCGTCAACGTTGTCGTCGTCGTCAACGCCGTCAACGTCGTCGTCGTGGTCAACGTCGTCATTGTCGACGTCATGCTGGTCGGGCTCGTCGCGGTCGTCGTCGTATTCGCCTTTGGTCGTTGTTTGCATCGTCGTGGTCGTCGTCATCGTGTTCCTCTTCGTTGTCTTCGCTGGTTGTTACTTGCGTCGTCGTGATCGTCGTCCTCGCTGTCGTCGTCGTCGCTGTCGTCCTCGGCGCCGTCGCCGCTTCTTCGTCGTCGCGGAGGGCGGACGTCGTCGCCGTCAGGGTCGACGTCGCTGTCGCCTCGGGGGGGGCAGAACCTCAGGGAGGGGGTAGATCACCAAAAATGACTCCCTACTTTCCCTCTGTCTCCTCGTCCTCGCCGTAGTCGTCGTCCTCCTCCTCCTCCTGCTACTCTTCCTCCTGCTACTCCTCCTCCTGCTCCTCCTCCTCCTCCTCCTGCGCTCGTACCGCGTCCTCCTCCTCCTCCTCCTCCTCCTCCTCCTTTTGCTCCTCCTCCTCCTCCTCCTCCTCCTCCTCCTCCTCCTCCTCCCATAACCCTCCTTGCTCCTCCTGTTTCTGAAGGTTTACAGCGGGGGGGGGACAGCGCCGCCACGGCTGGACCTGTCTCGCAAGGAGGGTCAGGGCTGTGCCCTGGAAGGGACTGGGTATCCACTCGGCTGCACGTCCAAGAGGTGTCATGCAGCTCTGGTACAGTCGAAACGCTGTCACCAGGAACCCTGAGTAGGGAACGGGAGCCCTTTTCCATTGAGCACCGAAGGAAAAGCTAAGGCACACTGCAAAACAATTCAGGAGCACTAAGCCACTCCCCTACGAAAAGGGTTCTTTCTTAGGCGGCCCGACTGTAGCCTGGTTAGTGCGGCCGTTCTAATGTCCACCAGCCAACACGTTATCCAGCACTGCTGCTTCCTGGAGCACACGCCTGAGTCACACACTTCAGCGACCTCTGCACGGGCTGTAGATGTCTTTGTTGCTCCGAACCTTTGCCCTCTGGATCAGTACTGGCATGCTTCTAATGAGCTGACAGCGCCTTCCTGGACGGCGTCGTAAAGAGCCTGCATATCGTCGTTGGCCGTCTCGTGTTTCGGCCATGCTCCACTAGCATCCTGCCATTAGCCTGGACGTGGAAGCCACCAATTGGGATCCTCCTGGCCGACCAAGAGAGCGACAATGGCACCTGCCAATCCCCTTAATCGAGCGTCCGGCGATGAGTGCACGAGGTTCTTGCATACTGCATTCCATCCCATCTGTGGGAGCACGGCATGTCATTACGGCGGCAAGAACGTGAACCACTCCATGGTTGGCGCCGGAGGGCATGAGCTACGGGGCGGGCACTGGCTCCCGCAGATATGCAGAGCGATGATGGATGCACATCTCCCTCTGCTTGTGAATCCTGCCACCGTAGCCGCGGCAGGACGCTCTGTACTGGCTGTCATAGCTGGAAAAGCGACGATGATAACATCGCGAATCATCTTCGCTCGAAAACTAGCGGCGCGCAGCCGAGCGGTGATCGCATAGCAAGCTCCTCGACGCAGACAAAGGCGGGTTCTTTTGTAACGTGCAAGGGCGACGATGACTCTCTTGCGGGCGCTCTCGGGCGTCGCCAATGTTTGCCCCTCGTAGCGTCGAAGACGAGATCCACAGGTATGTGGTGCCACTTATCTTGACACGGATACAGCGCTTCCGAACCTGTTCGATCGCGCTGCGATTGACACACGACGACGGTAACGACGACGACGACGACGAGCACGACGACGACGACGACGACGACGACGACGACGACGACGACGACGACGGCCACAACATGACGACGGCGGCGGCGACGACGACAACGAAAACGACGGCGACGACGAAACGGGGAAAGAAAAGCGGTGCCCACCGCGGCCGACGCTGCGCGCGTGCGTGCGACCGAGCCACGACACGATGCTCGCAGAGATCTGGGAGCCGCGCCGCGGGCCCCCGCCCCCGTGCTGGAGAGAGCGCAGTCTTGGACGAGAGGTGAGGAGGTGCCAATTGGATCTGCATGCGCTTCCTTGCTTCACTAAGTCAAAACAGATGCCCAATACCAAAAACGCGAGGGCCAAGACAAAATGCAGGCTCCTCGAGACTTCGGGGAGGGAGAGTTTGGGGTAGGGTTTTACCAGGGCGACGACGACGAACGCAGAACATATCCCGAAATCTTTGGCCGATCTTCGAATCCTCGGTGAATCCGCGATTTTGGGATTGGGGATGTGTTTTTTCGTGGTCGTTGCTGCAGAGGGAACAGAAGGGTCGATGAGGACCGCATCTGGTCTGCTGCTGCGGAGGAGGCAGCGCATGAGTGGGGAGGCAGAGCAAGAGAAAGCTGCAGAAACATAACAGAATGGGAATCTGCGCGGCTTTCTTGGACCCGTGCTGGGCCCCCCTCCCTGGCGCACGGAGCGCACCAGGGGCAGCGCCGGAGGTGCCGCCAGGGAGGGGATCGATCCAAGACGTCCGCGCGGACCGTCGAAAGTTGACGTGTATGCCGTGTGCCGTCTTCTCTTCTTCGAGGAAGAGGAGGAGCTCCAAGAGGAGGAGGAGCAGGAGGAAAAAGAAGCAGGAAGAGGAAATGGAGGAAAACGAGAAGCAGGAAGAGTGGAGGACACCCCCAAAGAGCTACTGAGCAAACTGCACCCCTCTGGCGGCTCCCCGGAGACTCTGGGGGCGAGGTGTGGCTTTGAACGGCGAGCTGGCGAGCCGCGCAAGGCGCGAAGGCGAGCAGGGCCCTGGAGGAGGGAAGGCGGGGAGAGACGAAGCAGACGAGGAGGATGCAATGCGATGCGACCAGGCCCAGCTCAGACCAGATGTGTGAGGCCGTGGTCTCGTGAACCTGGAAGAGGAGGAGGAAGGGGAGAGAGGGTAGGGGAGGAGGAGGAGGAGGAGGAGGAGGAGGAGGAGGAGGAGGAGGAGGATAGAGGAGAAGGAGGAGGAGGAGAGAGGATAGAGGAGAAGGAGGAGGAGGAGGAGGAGAAGTAGAAGGAGGAGGAGGAGGAGGAGGAGGAGAAGGAGAAGAGGAGAAGAGAAAGACGAGAGAGTGTGTGTGCGCGTGCATATGAGTAGGTGTGTGTGTGCATCTGTGGAGGAGGAAGGTGGAGGAGGTTTGTGTGTGTGAGTGAGTGAATGAGTGAGTGAGTGAATACGTGGGTGAATGAGTAAGTGTGCGAGGCGATGACATAATCTTATGATTTCACCTCGCCTCCACTGAATTCGACGGGCACTATGACGATGGGGGGTGCACAACGACAAACGTGGCAGGCAAAGGGCATCGAGAAACAACTTCGACTCTGAAAAGGTGAGCGGGAACTGGAATTGGCAGCGCCTCCACTTGTGCAGAGCAGCCACTTTCGCCACCACAGCCCCCCGATAGATCGGATGTGCAGAAACTTGACAGCACTGAGATGAAAGCGTACTGAACCAGACAAAGCTATGTCAGTAACTCCTCTTCGGCATGTGTTGCATCAGGGAGACGACGAAACTGGCGTCGCCACACAAGCACAGCCACCTGCGGCGGAAAGAGGAATCTGCCACATCTGTTAGCATTCCTCTCAGTCACCGCTCGTGGCAGCTGGGGCCTGGCCTGCTGCCGCGCCTGTGGCCGCCGAGCTGACGGGCGACCCCGCCGGAACTGCAGCCCCCGAGCCCCAGAGAGGAGGCACCGCGGCGCGCCCGCTGCCCCACCTGGCTGTTGTCGGCCCGGGCCAGGTGGGGGCCAGGTGGGGGGTATCGGCCGGGGCCAGGTGGGGGGTATCGGCCGGGGCCAGGTGGGGGGTATCGGTCGGGGCCAGGTGGGGGGTATCGGTCGGTTTTGGGCGAGAAATCGCTGGGGGGGGCCCGAAGAACAGAGGTTCTGTGGGTGGGGGTGTCGGGGCGAGGAGGGAGGTATCGGTCGGGGCCAGGTGGGGGGTATCGGTCGGTTTTGGGCGAGAAATCGCGGGGGGGGGGGTCCCAAGAACAGAGGTTCTGTGGAGGGGGGTGTCGGGGCCAGGTGGGGGGTATCGGTCGGGGCCAGGTGGGGGGTATGGGGTGAGTTTGTGCGAGAAGTCGTGGGGTGGGCGGTCCCAAGAACAGAGGTTCTGTGGGTGGGTGTGTCGGGGCCAGGTGGGGGGTATCGGTCTGACACCCTCAGAACCTTCCGCTGGAGGTGGTGGAAGTGGCCCAGGGAAGGCTGATGTGCCTGGTCTTCGGCGACGCCCCACCCGCGGCTCGGCCGGCTGCCGGGTCTTCACGAGCTCGGTGTCCTCCGCTTCCAGAGGCGAGGCCTGCCCTCCGCGCGGTGTGCCACTACATCGGGGCACCCCCTTGTTCGGTCAGCAACAAGACGAGGACGCTACATCACCACATGTGCATCGCGCTCCTGTCTCCAGCGGCAGTCCCAATGCAGCGGGCAGCGGCTCCCAGTGTCCGGTGCCAGGTCAGAAAGGTACAGCGGCGGCGCTAAATCCTGCACAGCGTCCTGCAGAGAGTGCTGGCCGCGGAGGAGCACGCCGCAACTCTTTTCTGACGTCTTCGAATTATTTTTCACCTGATGGATGAATCGATCTGCCGATGGTCTCGATCCTGCACGGCTCCTCATTCCAGATTATGCGCTCCACACAACTGTGGCGCTTCCCGTAGCCAAGCAATTCGTTATGATGCTTCCTGCCTTAGTCAAACAGGGTGTTTCTGAGATGTCCCTAAAAAGACGCGAGGAGGCGCAGGGAGCGACATGCAGGGTCGGCTAGAGCCAAAAGAACTGGCCGTGAGCACGCCTTGGGCCGCATGTGCTTGAGCCAAAGTGGCTACAGAGTAGGACGAGGAGGAAGAGGAGGAGGAGGAGGAGGAGGAGGAGGAGGAGGAGGAGTTGGAGGAGGAAGGGGAGGGCGAGGAAGGAGTTGGAGGAGGAAGGAGAGGAGGAGGAGGAGGAGGAGGAGGAGGAGGAGAAAGAGGAGGAGAAGGGAGGAGGAGGAGGAGGAAGAGGAGGTGGAGGAGAAGGAGGCAATACAGAAGGGAAGGAGCGACCGTGGCTGAATAGAAGGGGAGGAGGAACAAGACAAAGAAGGAGAGGAGTAAGGGGAGGAAGGGAAGCAACGGAGCAGGAGGAGAGCAGGAGGAGAGGAGCAGGAGGAAAGAGGGGGAGAGAGAAGGAGGAGAGAGAAGCCAGAAGAGCTTGGCTTGGATTCGGTTTGCCCTGAAGGCGGTACACATCTGGTGTACTCGAGGCCCTCGTGGTCGGACTCACCTGCAGAGTCCGACTCTGCAGGAGCACGTGAGATCGCTTGACGAGCCAGCAGCTGCACACGTGGGCGATCGTCGGCCGTTGGGCCAAACGCTCGGAGCACGACTTCCTTCCTTCCTTCCCCCCAAACAAAAACTCACCCCGCCCCTACGTTGACTGCGACAGGCTGGGAGGCGGAGGAGCAGGCTGGGCGGCGGCCTCCCCCTGGAGGCCCGCTCGGGCCACGGGGAGCACGCCGTGGGGGCGACTGCGGCGCAACTCTCGCACCCCATTCCTGTAGTGGGGGCTCTGGCCCAGCTTTATGCGCCTGAGCTGCTGAGGAGCCAGGGGAGAGGGGGAGGAGGAGGGGGAGGAGAGGAGGACGAGGAGAGAGCCAAAGAGGGAGTAGGAGGAGGAGCAGGAGATAGGAAGAGGAGGATGTAGGAGGATCGAGGAGGAGGGGAGAGGAGGAGGAGGAGGAGGAGGAGGAGGAGGAGGTTCACTGCCCATAGAGGGAGAGGTCCGGGGGGAGAGAGGAAAACTGGGTGGGGTCGCCCATCCGAGGGGATCTTTGTCAGGCCCACTGCGAGGTTCCATCCCCCGCAGCGGGCCCCCGACCGGACGACCCCACCCCCATCACTTAGCCGAAATCTTCGTCGGCATCTTCCTGCCGAGCACGTCTGGACGCGGCCTCGGCTCTGGCCAGCACTACCCTGGTTCCCAGGGCCTCTGCTTGGGCACGATCCTCGAAACCAAAAGCTTTCAAACAAGCCTGGAAGTCGAGACGCGAGGCGGCCACTGGCCGCGAAAATGGGGGCAGTCGACAGGGGCTGCTATCTGGCCCCTCCAGGTCCATTCCGAAATGCTCGGACCATCTAGCACGGGTGGCCTCGGAAGGGGTCTTGGGCTCATCCAGCGCCACAGAGGGATCCGACGGGTGGATCCTGTCTCTGAGGCGCTTCCGAACCGTGTACAGCGAGCCTCCTTTCAGCCGCCGGCGACCATTGCAAGGCTTGCACAGGCCCCTCTGCTTCGTGTCAGCTGCGAAATGGTAGCAAGACGTGCAAAACAAAAGCGGCTGTTTACCTGGGACCCCAGCTTCCAACAAAGCGTGGTCCAGGACGCGCCAGGGCCTGAGCTCCCCCAGACCAAAACCTTCGTCCTCCAAAACCTCGGCGTCGACGTCCACAGCCTCTTGACCCTCAGCCTCCACCCGGCTCCCCGGAGCAGCAGCAGAAGCAGCAGGCGGGTCAGCAGGAGGGGAGGAAGAGGGACCAGGGGGTTCGGGCGAGGCCTCGGCGTCTAATTGGTAGGCCTCGTCGATACAAAACGCCGAGAAGCTATCAGCGATGGTGCCAAAGTCGATCCAACGAATCGCGTCGAGACCCTGATGATCCTGGAGTCCCAGATCAACCATCCTAGTGGCCACTCTGGCTCCAAATCTGCACGCTTGGCGAGCCATTTCCAAGCAGCCTTCGACAAACAGCACATCAGACTCCGCTGCAGCACCATAGCTGGCCCCCCGCTTGGCATATTGGTCGGCTTTCTGATTGCCCTCGAGCTCAAACTGAGACAAAATCCCGTCTCGGACATGTCTCATGCTGCAATGACTTTTTACATGCTCAAACCTCCGCTGAGCAAAGTCTTCGCGCGAGTGCACTCTTCGCCATATGTGGGCTCGAGGGTTAGCCACAGACGTGGCCTTCTGCTGACAGGTGCAACAAGAAAGCGTGGCTTTGAGGAGGAGGAGGAGGAGGAGGAGGAGGAGGAGGAGGAGGAGAGGAGGAGAGGAGGAGGAGGAGGAGGAGGAGGAGGAGGGAGGAGGAAGAGGAGGAGAGCGGAGGAGAGAGAAGGAGAGAGGAGGAAGGAAGATTGGGCAGAAGACTGGGCGTGTGGGGATGGGATGGACGACGAGGGGCGCCGCTGGGCCGCGTGAGGTGCGGAGGGGGGGGGGGGGGGAGGGCACCAGCCACGCGGCAGAGGTGACGAGACGCGCTGACCGCAGGGCGCGCAGGGAGGGCGCCGGCGCGCGCCACCCCGCCCAGCCGCCTCGCCGCCCATGCCCCTGTAGGGCTCGTCGAAGATGGGTGGTGCCTGCGGTCCCCAGGCCAGCACTGCAGGACGGGTATTCTGCTCCTCTTCGTCCTCCTCCTCCTCCTCCTCCTCCTCCTCCTCCTCCTCCTCATCATCCTCCTCCTACTCCTCCTCCTTGTTGAGCAGACTGAGCAGCGGAGCTGTAGGTTCGAGGGAAGAGAGAATCCATGTCGACCTAGGCATGAGAGAGCGCGCGCGCGGAACTCGCAAAGGGGGGGTCCCCCCTTAGCTACCCCCCCCCCTTGGGGCCCCCCTGCTGGAAACTACCCCCCGCCCTCCCCCCCTTTGTGGTCCCCCCCCCCGGAAGCTACCCCCCCCTCCCCTTCTTTTGCCGCTCCGGAAGCTACCCACCTCCTCCCTCCCTTTCCAAAAGGGAGGGGGGGCTTAGCTACCCCCCCGCCCCCCTCGAACCCCCCCTGCTGCCTCCCCCCTTCCCCCCCTTTTTTGTCCCCCCCCCGAAGCTACCCCCCCTCCCCCCTCCTTTTGCCGCTCCGGAAGCAACCCCCCCCCCTCCCCCCCTTTCCAAAGGGGAAGGAGGGCTTAGCTACCCCCCCCCCTTTGAACCGCCCCCTGCTGGAAGCTACCACCCCCCTCCCTTGAACTCCCCCTGCTGGACGATCCTCTCCCGTCGCCGTCGTCGTTGCCGTCGCCGTCGCTCGACGTCTTCGTACGACGCCGTCGTCATCCTCGTCGTCGTTGTCGCCGTCGCCGTCAGTGTCGACGTCTTCGCATTGCCTCGTCGTGGTCGTCGCGACGAGAGGACGAGGTCATGCGAAGACGGCGACGGACGACGGACGATGGACGACGCGCGACCGACGACCGACGACGACGATGACCCAGGGTCAGAGAAAACGAGACCACGACCCTGGGGCTGCGAAAACGAGGAAACGGAGCGGGGTCCGAGGAAACGAGACCACGGCCCAGGGGCCGAGACGATGAGAAAACGAACCAGGGTCCAACAAAAACGAGGCAGGATCCGAGGAGACGAGACCAGGACCCAGGGGCCGAGAAAACGCGACAACGAACCAGGGTCCGATAAAACAAGAACACGACCCAGGGGCCGACGGAACGAGACAACGAGAAGACAAGCCAGTGCCCGAGAAACGAAACCACGACCCAGGGGCCGAGAAAACGAGACAACGAGAAAACGAACCAGGGCCCGTCAAAGCGAGAACACAGCCCAAGGGCCGAGAAAACAAGAGTAACGAGAAAACGAACCAGGACCCGAGAAAACGAAACAAAAACCCAGAAGCCAAGAAAACGAGAAAACGAAACAACGAACCAGGGTCCGAGAAAACACGATAGCGACCCAGGGGCCGACAACACGAGAAAACGATAAAACAAGCCAAGGTCCGAGCAAACGAGACTACGAACCAGGCAGAGAAAACGCGAATATCGGTCCTAGAAAACGGGACCACGATCCAGGCGCCGAGAAAACGAGAAAACGATTGGAGGAATCAAAGCCCGAGAAAACGAGACTACGAACCAGGGGCCGAGAAAACGAGGCAACGAGAAAACAAACCAGTGTCCGAGAAAACGAAACCACGACGCAGGGGCCGAGAAAGCAAGAAAACGAGAAAACTAACCAGGGCCCAAGAAAACTGGACCACGACCCAGGCGCCGAGAAAACAAGAAACGAGAACACGAACCAGGGCCAGAGAAGACGAGACCACGACCCAGGGGCAGAGAAAACGAGAAAACGAACCAGGGTCAGAAAAAAAACGAGACCACGACCCAGGGGCAGAGAAAACGAGAAAACAAAACAAACAAACCATGGTCCGAGAAAACGAGACCACGACCCAGGAGCCGAGAAAACAAGAAACCGAGAAAATGAAACGGGGTCCGAGAAAATAAGACAACGGCCCAGGGGCAGAGAGAATGCGAAAACAGTAAAACAAATCAGGGTCCGAGAAAGCTGGACCACAACCCAAAGGGCCGAGAAAACAAGAGAACTAGAAAACGAACCAGGGTCCGGGAAAACAGAACCACGACCCAGGGGACGATAAAACAAGAAAACGAAACAACGAATCAGGGTCAGAGAAAACTGGACCACGACCCAGGAGCCGAGAAAACGAGAAAACAAGACAACGAACCAGGGGCCGAGAAAACGAGACAAAAACCCAGGGGCAGAGAAAACGAGAAAACGAGAGAACGAACTGGGGCCCGAGAAAACTGGACCACGACCCAGGGACCGAGAAAAGGAGAAAACGAAAAAACGAACCAGGGCCAGAGAAAACAAAACCACAATCCCCTGGGCCCCTTTGGGGTTTGAGGCTCCTTGGGGCCCCTTTGGGGCCCCTTTGGGGTTCGGGGCCCCTTTGGAGCCCCTTTGGGGTTCCTTTTGAAGATTTGGGCCCCTCTGGGGCCTCTTTGGGGGCCCGTTGGGGCACCTTTGGGGCCCCTTTGGGGCCCCATTGGGGTTTGGGGCCCCTTCGGAGCTCCCTTTGGGGTTTAGGGCCCCCTTGGGGCCCCTTCGTGGCCCCTTTGGGGTTTAGGGCCCCTTTTGGGTCCCTTTTGGGCCTTTTGGGGTTTGGGGCCCCTTCGGGGCCCCTTCGGGCCCCCCCCCCCCCCCGAACCGGTCCTCGACGGCGATCTGGCCGGAACCGGACCGAACCGGAACAGTAACGGGTCCGAACCGGAAACAAAAAATAAACGTACCGAACCGAACCGAACCGAACCAGAAGATTACGATACCGAACCGAACCGAACCGGAGGAGCTTCGGAACCGAACCGAACCGAACCGAAACGGCGCTTTCCTAAACCATGCGTTCTACTAGCTACTGCTCCACGCCAATATTGGTGTTTTGAGCTGTGTAGCAACAGTGGCGCATCGACGACGGGGGCGCAACCCGAAAATAGCTGGTGGATTCATGTGGATAGCGGGGTTCATGTGGACATGCGCGGGCGCGCCCTATGCCGGGCCACCTAGCAGCCCACGGGGGAAACGACCGCGGGCTGGCGATGTCATTCAAATATGCTTAGGCCCGCGCTTTGCTTCACCCCCAAACGGGCCGCGAAAGCGGCGGCAATTTCAATGTGCAAGAACTCCAGGGGATGGAGAGGTCGAACCTGGATCTGCGTTGATCCGCGCAATGCTGGGCCCACTGGCAGCCCGCGGAATTAGCGCCGAACTTGCATGCCCGCAACCCTTGGATGGCGAGATCTTCATGGGAGCTGCGCGCTGTGACCCACGCTATGCTGGATGCCCCCTGCAGCCCGAGAAAGCGGCAACAGTCTCATTGCTCGCAGACCCCAGGGGATGGCGAGGTCGAGTCTGAACCTGCGTTGCCCCGTGCAATGCTGGACCCCCCCGCAGCCCGTGGAAGTGGCGACGGTCTGGCACAACCCGCAGGCCTTATGGGCGATACCACTGTTGCATCTCCGCGCTGAGACCTTCTCCACGCTGGACCTCCCCATGGCCCGCGAAATCGGCGACGGTTTCATTGCTCGCAGGCCCCAGCAGTTCGCGCGGTCGAATCCTGAATCTGCAAAGGCCCGCCGGGCACTGCACCGCCCGACGGCCTCCGCCGCGGCAGAGAAACGCTCGTTCAGGGCGGGGGCCGAGACGCAAGGATCCATCGCTCGTGGGGGTCGAGGAGGGGATGGCCGACCATCACAAAAAAGGCTGGCTCAAGAGTGCACGGGGACGGGCCAGCAGAAAGCCCTTTGGACCCCGCGCCCTCGCGCGCCCCTCCCCCCCCCAAACGAATATCCGCCATGCGCTTCTGACCCTCGCTCTCCCCTCTGGCCCTCTCGGCCGTGTTTGGGGCGCCTTGGCAGAAACCAAACCGACTGGGCAACAAAGCAACCGCATGGCCTGCGCAAGACGAGCCAGCACTAGCCAGTAATGGCCACTGACGGCCAGGAGAAAGCCGCATCATGCCGAATGCCAGCCTCCATGGCATTGCGTCTAACGAGACCACGACCCAGGGGCCGAGAACACGAGAACACGAGAAAACGGACAAGGGTCCAAGGAGAAAAAGCAGCACGACCCAGGGGCCGACGAAAACAAGAAAACGAGATCACGAACCAGGGCCCGAAAAAAACACCACAAAAAAACAAAGCCGAGCAAACGAGAAAACGAAACAACGAACCAGGGTCCGATAAAACGAGACCACGACCCAGAGGCCGAGAACACGAGAAAACGAGAAAACAAACCGAAGTCCGAGCAAACTAGACCACGAACCAAGGGCACATAAAAATCGAAAACTAACCAGGGTCCGAGAAAACACGACAACGACTCAGGGGCCGAGAAAACTAGAAAACGATACAAGGAATCAGGGCCCGAGAAGACGAGACTACGAGCCAGTGGCCGAGAAAACAAGAGAACGAAACAACGAACCGGAGCAGAGAAAACGAGACCACGACCCAGGGGTCCAGAAAACAAGAAACGAGACAACGGACCAGGCCCCGAGAAAACGAGAGCACGACCCAGGAGCCGAGGAAATATGCGAGAACGCGGAAACGACACGCGACCCAGGGGCCGAGAAAACGAGGAAACGAGACCACGACACAGGGTCCAAGGAAACCACGACCCGGGGGCCGAGATCACCAGAAAACGCTTGGCTCGACAGAACGAGGAAAAAGGGGGCCTCGCTCCTTATTTAGGGTTCCTCAGGTCCACGCCCCGACTGTTCCCGCCGCTATCCCCGAGCCCCGAGGGCACGGCCCCGCGGCAGTGGAGAGGCAGGCAGAGCCCGCACGGCTGCAGGGCAGGTCCTACACAGGACACGGGAGGGAAGAGAGCCTGCAGAGGTCGTGCATGGGGGGACGAGGCCACGACCCAGGAGCCGAGAAAACAAAGAAACGAGAAGACGAAGCAGGGTCAGAGAAAACGAGATCACCACCACGGGGGCCGAGACAGCGAGAAAACGAGAATACTAACCAGCGCCCGAGAAAACAAAACCACGACCCAGGGGCCGAGAAAACGAAGCAGGGTCCGTGAAAACTGAACCACGACCCAGGCGCCGAGAAAACGAGAACGAGAACGCGAACCAGGATCAGAGAAAACGAGACCGCGACCCAGGAGCCGAAAACACGAGAAATCAAAAACGAACCAGGGGCCGAGAAAATGAGAAAGATAAGAGGAATCAGGACCCGAGAAAACGAGACTACGAACCAGGGGCCGAGAAAACAAGAAAACAAGAAAACGAACCAGGGGGGGTGACGTCATTCTCCAACTCGTTCTCTAGCAGTGCGGTGCGCACCTGTCGTCAGGGAGTCTGCCATTTTGCCAGAGCCCCGGAAGGGAGGGGGGGGGAGGTAGCTTCGAAAGGAAGGAGGGGGGGGGTAGCTTCCGAAGCCCCCCCACTTTGAAAGAGAGCCTGGGTTCACCTTCTGCGCAGGAAAAGGGAGGGAGGGGGGGATAGCTTCGAAGCCCCCCCCTTTAGCCAGGGCCCCCCGAGCTTAGAAACCCTTACAGAAAGGAGGAGGGGGGTAGCTTTGGAAGCCCCCCCCCTTTTCGAAGCAAGGGGGAGGGTAGCTTGAAGCTGGGTCCCCCCTTTTAGTATTGAGTTCCGTACGGGCGCGCTCTTACCTAGGCATAGCGCGAAGAACAAATCGCGGCCAGCTGTGGTGCACGAAGCGTGCACGTCTGGGTAGTTCCGCGGGTACAGGCAGTGGAAAGCTCTTTCGTTAGGTTTCAGACTGTCCTGGTGTTGGCACCGACACTGCCAAGGAGGCCCTCAGACATCTTGCTCCTGGCCAGCCCCCCATTGGTGCTGCGGCGGTGTGGTCCAATGAGAACCACATCAAGCCCCTCCAGGCCCGCCGTGCCAGGCGGACCCGTTTCATCAAGTAAGGTGGTCGGCTGTAGGGCCGCGGCGTGTTGGGTGCCACGACCGCGCCCCCTCAGTCGGCCGATGCTCCTCCTCCACCTCCTCCTCCTCCTCCTCCTCCGCCTCCTCCTCCCCCTGCAGGTTTCGTCATAGGTGGGAGGCGCCTGCGATCCACGTCAACGTCGCCGCCGTCGTCGCGTGACGAGGAGAAGGCAGGAAGAAGAGGCGAAGGGAGGAGAAGGGGGAGGAGACGGAGAAGGAGGAGGAGGAGGAGGCGGAGGAGGAGGAGCAGGGATTAGGAGGGCGACGAGGACGGTAAGGCGGAGACAGTGAGGAGGAGGAGGAGGAAGAGGAGGAGGAGGAAGAGGAGGAGGAGGGGTAGAAAAAGGAAGAAAAGGGAGCGGAAGAGAAAACCGGAGGGGAAGAGGAGGGGGAAGAGGAGAAGGGAGAGGAGAAGCCTAGAAGAAGAGGAGAGGAACAGAGGGGGGAGAGGAAGATGGATGGAGGAGGACGATGTAGGAGATTCGATGAAGAAGAAGGAGAAGAAGAAGAAGAAGAAGAGGAGGGGGGTCGGATCGGGGCCGTCGGATCGGGCTGCATCGGCGAAGAGTCCGAATTGAATCGGGTCGGCCCGCGCCAGGATGCACAACAGCGCAAGGCGGTTCGGCATCGGGCCGCATCGGGTCGTCGGAATACCGAGATGAACCGGGTCGGGCCAATCGGATCGAAATGGAGCCTGTGATGCCTCTCCCCTTGCTCCACGCCTGCTCGGAGGGTCCCCTCGTCGCCACGGCTGGAATTGCCTCGAGGCCCTCGTCGGAACGCGCCCAAGGCCAGGGAAACCGAACGCGACGACGACGACGACGACGATGGCGACGACGACGACTACGACGAAGACGGCGACGACGACGACGACGTTGACGACGACGACGTCCTTCTCCTGGCAGATTGTGTGTGTTCCATGCCTCACGATTTTGAGGAAATTGAGGCCAGGGGGCTTGTCCGTCGACTGCACCTCTTTGAGAGCCATCTGGAGAGCCCCGATTCACACCAAGGCCCAAGCCAAGGCCCGAAAACCAATCCGAGGAAGGACCTCAGTTTCCTTCTCCTTCCCCTCCTCCTCCTCCTCCTCAAAGCTTCGAGTCACTTCATTCCGTGGCCACGAGAAGGCTGACGAGGGTCCAAAGAATGAGAAGCTCCAGACTCGATCCTCGATCCTCCTAATCGTCCACCTCCTCCTCTTCCTCCTTACCATCGTCACCATAACCATTACAAGCATCATCAACAACATCAGCAGCATCATCACCACCACTACCACCATCATCATCATCATCATCATCATCAGCAGCAGCAGCAGCAGCATCAACATCAGCAACATCAGTATCATCATCATAATCATAACCATCAGCATCGTCATCATCGTCATCATCATCATAACCATCATCAACATCGTCAGCAACATCATAATCATGACAGTCATCATCAACATCACCAGTAACATCATCATCAGTACCATAATCATCAGCAGCAGCAGCACAACAATCAACATCACCATCAGCACCAGCATCAGCATCATCATCATATGCATCATCAGTATGATGAGCATCGTCATCGTCATCAGCATCAACATCTCAACATCAGCATCACCAGCATCACCATAACCGTCGTCATCACAATCACTACACTATCACCATCATCATAATCAGCAACAGCATCATCACCATCAGCATCATCAGCATTACTATTATCACCAGCCTCGTCAACATTATCATCATTATGATCACCATCAACAATGTGAGCATCGTTATGATCACGCATCATCAGCATCATCAGCATCTGCATCTTCATCGTCACATCATCATCGTCATCATCATCACCACAATCATCATCATCATCATCATCATCATCGTCATCATCATCATCATCATCATCATCATCATCATCATCATGACCACCATCGCTCACCACCACCATCATCAGCATCAGCATCAGCATCAGCAGCAGCATCACCATCATCATCATCATCAGCAGCATCATCATCACCACCATCACAACCACGAACATCATGATCTTCCTCAGAATGCGAATGATAATGCTAATACTGAAAAGAGGAGGAAGGAGAAGACACATCATCATTCTCCTCATCATCATCACTATCATCACCATCACGATCATCACCATCATCGTCATCGTCATCACCATCATCATCATCATCATCATCGTCATCATCAACATCGTCGTCGTCATCGTCAACATCACCATCACCATCATCATCATAATAATCAGCATCTGAATCATCATCTGAATCATCCTCATCATCATCATCAGCATCCTCATCGTCAACATTACAATCACCATCACCATCACCATCACCATCACCATCACCACCGCCCCCTGACAATGCCCCTGACGAGGCGCCGCCCACGCACCACTCAGAGGCGGGGGGCAACCCGGCGCCCCACCTCCGGCTGCGGCTGCTGCACCAGGGCGGTGGCCTCGGCCTCGGTGGCAGTGGAGGAGGGAGGAGGAGGAGGAGGAGGAGGAGGAGGACGAGGAGGAGGAGGAGGAGGAGGAGGACGAGGAGGAGCGGGAGGAGGACGAGGAGGGAGAAGGAGGAGGAGGAGGAGGAGGAGGAGGAGGTGGCGCACCTGGCGTGCGTGGCACACCTGGCACGCGTGGCGCAGCGCGCGAGCGCCGGGCACCAGAGGCGTGCGCACTGCTTTTATCACATGGCTTGTCCCTCCGACGGCGACCTCTGCGTACACTTCGTGTCGGGTGCCACGGATGTGGACACAGTGCAAGGCAGGTCTGAGGAGTAGCGGTATCAGCATACGTATCCTGGCTTCCCCAGAAGCGACGTCGACGACGTCGACGACGACGACGACGTCGTCGACGACGACGACGACGGCGACGGCGACGGCGACGGCGACGGCGGCGGCGGCGGACCAAAATCCGCTCAACAACATCGCCGCCGCCGCCGCCGCCCTCGGCCCCCGGGCCGTCAACAAGACGACCCGGGATGAAACACTGGCCCTGTGGGGTAGGGGTCTGGCCCTCAGGGCGTCGACGCTGTGCAAAGGGAACGTCGGAGGTCTGGGTCTGGTGAGGCTGCAGGTCGCGCACAGACAGCCCCCCAAAGGTAAGCCCCGCTGGCCTCAACAGGCCCCCCGAGTAGTCCCTGGCGGTCCACACCGTGGCGCCGCCTCCGGCGACGTCCCTGGGGCGCTTCTCGCTCGAAGGGATGCGGTATGACACCGCCCCCCGGACCACTCGAGGAGCCTGTTGAGGCCAGCAGGGACCACCAGGAAAGGCTGTCCGTGCGCAGCCCGAGGCGTTAGCAGCCCCGATGACGCTGCTTTCCGGCACGGGTTTCAGCAAACATGGGATCGCTGATTGCCCTCACCCTCGGGCCATCCGGCCCGCAGCATCCGCCGAGCACTGCGCTCGAGCCCCGAGCGTGAGGACGGTGGGAAATGCTGGGTAGCCCGAAGATCTGAAAAAGCCGTCGTGCCAAAATCCATATTGGGGGCACCACTGCCTGGGGGATCGGACTTCGGAGACCTCGGCAGGCGGTGAATATGGCTACATTTGGCCGCCCACGGACCGAATATTTCATGTCCATTGTGTCCACTACCCGCCGAGATCCGCAAGGTTGATGCCCAACAGCGCATGGTGGTGGATCAATCGCGCCTCGGCCACTGCCCCACCAAAGGTCCTTCCGCAAACTTTTGAAGTCAACACCACGAGCGTAGGCGAGTGCCTCAGGCTGCCGCTTGACGGGTGCAGCGCGACGCGTGGACAGCAGCAGCAGCAGCAACAGCAGAAAGAAGAGGAGGCAATAGGCGCGAGGACGAGGAGGATGAGCATCGCAACTGCATGGGGGGGGCGGGCCGAAGGATATCCCGACCAAAGGCGGTCAACAGACGGCTCAGTCTCCGCAGCCCTTCGTCTTCTTCTCAGCCGTGAGTTCCCGAGAGGGGAGAGAGGGAGGGAGGGAGGGAGGACTAGACTGGACCATGAACAGGGCTCCAGCGTCTCGTGGGAGCAGGACTGGACTCCCCACGCGTTCGAGGCCCGCGCGCTCAATGTTCTTAGTTGCAGTATATTGTCAGAATGAGGGGGCCGAACGGTCACTCACTGTCCTTGGGTGCGTGGCTGAAGTGGGTGCCCGCGGTGCGGATTCATTTAGCTATGCTTGTTGCCGTTGTTGATGTTGCCGTTGTCGTTGTTCTTGTTGTTGTTGTTGTTGTTGCGACTGCTGTTGTTGGTGGTGTGTTGTTGGTGTTGGTGATATGTTTGAAATTGTTGTTGGTGTTGGTATTGTTGTTAAGTTTGTTGTTTGTGGTGGTGTTGGTGTTGGTGTTGTTGGTGGTGGTGGTGGTGGTGGTGGTGGTGGTGGTAGTGTAGTTGTAGTATTTTTTGCTGCTGTTATTCTTGAACTCTCCCTGTTGGAAAATAAATATGCTGAATCCCCCCTCCGGTGACCATTGCGTGTTTCAAATGACGTGTTTCCCGCGGGGCTCGAACCCTGGTGTGAACCTGGGAAAATCACGAGGGTCAAACTGCGTTGTTGGCCTCCGGGTTCCGACAATAACAACGGCTCCCGCTTAAGATTTCCTTACAATTTAGCCAGGACCCCCGCTCCCGCCTGAGACTTCCTCGCATGTTACTGAGGAGTCGCGCTCTCGCTTGGGACTTCCTGACAACATATACAAGAATCGCTCTCTCGGCGCTCTGGAGTCGCGCTCTCGCTGGAAACTTGCTTGCACTGTACTAAAGCATTGCGCTTTTGCATTGAATTTCCGTGCAATTTACTCAAGCGCCGCGCTCCCGACTCTCAGGCACCCAGGAGCCGCGCTCACGCTTAAGACTCCAGCACAACTTACTTAGGAATCGAGATATCGCTGCCCTTCGTGGCCCCGATGCAGCCCTTCGTGGCCCCATCGATGCCGCTCGTGGACCCCTTGCAGCCCTTTGCGGCCCACTCGCTGCCCTTCGTGGCCCTGTTGCAGCCCTACGTGGTCCCCTCGCTGACACCCGTGGCCCCGTTGCAGCCCTTCGTGGTCCCCTCGCTGCCCGTCGTGGCCCCAGCCCTTCGTGGCACCCTCGGTGCCCGTCGTGGCCCCGTTGCAATCCTTCGTGGCCCCCTCGCTGCCCTTCGTGGCACCGTTGCAATACTTCGTCGTGGCCCCCTCGCTGCCCTTCACGGCCACGTTGCAGCCATTCGTGGCCCCCTCGCTTCCCTTCGTGGCCCCGTTGCGCCCCTACTTGGCCCCCTCGCTGCCCTCCGTGGCCCCGTTGCAACTATTCGTGGCCCACTCGTTGCCCTTCGTGGCCCCGTTGCAGCCATTCGAGGCCCCCGCGCTGCACTTCGTGGCCCCGTCGCAGCTCTTCGGGGCCCCCTCGCTGCCCTTCGCGGCCCCGTTGCAGCCCTTCGCTGCCCCCTCGCTGCCCTTCGCGGCCCCGTTGCAGCCCTTTGCGGACCCCTCGCTGCCCTTTCAAGGCCCCACGTATGCACGCCCTTCGTGGCCCCCGCTCGCTCGCGCCCTTCGTGGCCCCATGCGCATGCGTTCCGTGGCCCCGCCGTCGCCCTTCGCGGCCTCCTCGCTGCCCTTCGTGGCCTGGTTGCTGCCCTCAGCGGCCCCGTCGTTGCCCTCTGCGGCCAATTATACGCACGCCAATCACGGCCCCCGATCGCTCGCGCCCGCCATGGCCCCCTCGCGTCCCTTCGCGGCCCCGCCGTCGCTCTTTGCGGCCCCCTCGCTGCACCACGTGGCCCCGTTGCTACCCTCAGTGGCCCCGTCGTTGCCCTCTGCGGCCCCGCATTCTCTGCCCTTCGTGGCCCCCGCTCGTTCGCGCCTTTCGTGGCCCCATACGCATGCCCTTCGTGGCCCCGCTGTCGCCCTTCGCGGCCCCCTTTTTCTGCCCTTCGCGGCCCCGCTGTCGTTCTTGCTCTCGTTCTCGCTCTCGCCTTCGCTTGTCGTCGTCGTCGTCGCCGTCGCCGTCGCCGTCGCCGTCGCCGTCGCCGTCGCCGTCGCCGCCGTCGTCGTCGTCGTGGTCGGTCCCCTGTCCGTCCCTCTTGGGGTCGGGCTGCCGCCGATCAGCGCTGCCGCTGGCCAGGCCAGCGGTCCGCGGCCGCCCCGCCGCCCGCCAGGGCCCGGCCTGAATAGAAGAAAGATCAGAGGGAACGAATCGATGTTTGGGGGTTACACGTTGAATGGCACTCGAGCAGATAAGAGCGAACAACATTAAAATGATTGTTCGTGTTGTTGGTGGTGTTGGTGTTGTTGTTGATGGTGGTGGTGCTGTTGGTGTTGCTGGTGTTGTTGACTCTCACTACTGAACAATAACTATTGTTGACCCCCCTGTGGCCATCGTATGTTTCCATTGAAATGATTCCACCAGGGCTCGCACCCTTTTTTCTGATATCAAGAAAAATCATGGGGCTCAAACCGAGTTGTTGGCCCCCGATGTACAACAACAGCGGCTCCCGCCGGATACTTCCTCACAATGTATTCCCAAATCGCGCTCTCGCGCGGGACTTCCTCGCACATTGTATACGAATCGCGCTCTCGCGTCGGACCTCCTCGCAGTTTATTCCGACGATGCGCCCTCGGTGTTCAGGAATCACACTCTCGCTTTTGCTTGTCGCACGATTTCCTCGGGAATCGTGCTATCGCTCGAAATTCCCTCGCGATGCATGCAGGACCCACGCTTCAGCAACCCGCCTGCTCGACCTGGTCGCCTGGGCCCGACTTCTCGACCCTGCGCGACCCACCTGCGACCCACCCGCGACCCACCCGCGACCCCCCCGCGAGCCACCCGCGACCCGCCCGCGACCCGCCCGCGACTTGCCCGCGATCCACCCGCGACCCACCCGCGACCCACCCCGCGACCCACCCACATTGCTTCAACGAGCAATCGGCGCCTGCGGCGGGCACGTTGTATGAGCGCCTGCGGCGGGCTCCTTCGGAGCCTCGCAGAGACTGCAGACGTCCCCGCCGACCCCTCACTCGTACCCGCAACTGCGGGGTGCTACGTTTGAGTAGTTCTTTTTGCTTAAAGGCCCGCGCGCTCAAGATCGCTGTTCACTGCTGGGAGCCGTCCCTTCATAGCGAGAGGAGGTGTTGGGAGCCAGGATCTCCAGACCTCCTCTCGCTGAGAAGGGACTGGCCTCAGGTTGGGCATGTCCTCCTACAGGCGCATGTTGGGAGACAGCCAAAAAATACCCCAACATATCAAACAAGCAGAACATCACGAAGCATCGTCACATGACTACTGTGTTCCTATTCTTCAAGACTCCTCCTGTAGAGGGACATGCCCGACGTAAGACTAGCCCAGGGAGAACAGTCGACTTGGGAGCACGACGCCGCGCCGAAAGACTGGCGGCACCCCACCGATCGCGAGGCGCGACACTCCGTGGGCAGAGCGGGACACCCAGGCAGCAGCAGAAGAGGAAAGGAGTAGGGAGAAGAATACGGATGATGATGATGATGATGATGATGATGATGATGATGATGATGATGGTGATGATGATGATGATGATGATGATGACGATGATGACGATGATGATGATGCTGGTGATGATGATGATGATGATGATGATGAAGAAGGTGATGATGACGATGGTGATGATGATGATGGTGGTGGTGGTGATAGTGATTGTGATGATGAGGATGAGGATGAGGATGAGGATGAGGATGAGGATGAGGATGATGATGCTGATGATGATGATGATGAGGATGATGATGATGATGATGATGATGATGCTGATTATGGTGATGATGGTGATGATGATGGTGACAGTGTTCCCCTCCCCCCCGCCAGGCCGAGACAATCTTGGGGACCCATGGTGCTACGGAACTGCGAGAATGCTGCCGGCTCCCATGACGGCCTTGCTGACTACTTCCGTCGAGAGAGCGATGTAGCTCGCAGTTTGGAGCAGGCGGTCAAGGCACGGGCGGCGTGCTGAAGGCATCCGCTTCCGTGCACATCTTCACCCATTGCTCACACGCAGTGGCCAGCGCAAGGCCTCTGGACTGGACTGGGACCCACCAGGCTGGTCCCTTCTCAGGCTGGGAGGGGGAAGGAGGGGGATGAGGAGGGGGAGGAGGAGGAGGAGGAGGAGGAGGAGGAGGAGGAGGAGGAGGAGGAGGAGGAGGAGGAGGAGGAGGAGGGAGGAGGAGGAGAGGAGGAGGAGGAGGAGGAGAGGGAGGAGGAGGAGGAGGAGGAGGAGGATGAGGGAGGAGGGAGGAGCAGGGAAACCTTTCTCGGATCTCCTAGGTTGCACGTCTTCGCGCCTTGCGCCCCGCGCTGCGCGGTGCCCGGCCGTCTTCGCGCCGTCGCGCCGCCGCCCCTGGAGAAGGGCGCCTCTCCGGTCCAAGCCCTGGAGGCCTAGAAATGGGCACCAACACCAACACCTGCACAGGAGAAGGAGGAGGAGGAGGAGGAGGAGGAGGAGGAGGGAAGGTGGAGGAGGGAGGAGGAGGGAGGAGGAGGAGGAGGAGGAGGAGGAGGAGGAGGAGGAGGAGGAGGAAGAGGAGAAGGAAGAGAAGGAGGAGAAGGAGGAGGAGGAGGAGGACGTCGAGAAGGTTGAGGAGGGGTGGGGCGACAAGCGTAGGGCAGAGGCCGGCCCGAGGCCTGGAAATGGGGGGGTGCCCTCACAGGGGGGAGATGGTCCTAGATGTCGGTGTTGGTGACCTTGGAAGCCACCACATTCACCGAGATCGGGGATCTTCTTCCCTCGGTGGCGGCACAGCGCCGATATTGGTGTTGGTGTCAACCTCCAGGCCTGCGGGGTCGTTGCGCCACTGGGGGTGACCCAGGGTCTCGCTGTGAAAAAAACACGACGGATGGTTCTTGCCCATGTACGACCTACAGTGGCACTTGCAGGGCCCTGGGGCTGGGGCCCTCGGAAAAGGACTCGGGACGAGACGCGGCCCATGGGGAAATGCTGAAGAAGGGCTCCCGATCCTAAAAGCCTGGCGTCCCTGAGCGTTTTCACACACGTCGGTGGCAATTCATTGGAGCCTCCCATACCATCTTGTCGGCTCTTGCGAATCGACGCTAATTGACACTATGTCGACGCTAATCGACGCTAAACCGACGCTAATCGACACTACATTGACGCGAATCGACGCTAGCCGACGCTAAATCGGCGCTATCTCATCGACTCCCAGACGCTAATCGACGCTAATCGACGCTAATGGACGCTAAAGTTTGGCCCGATGAGCTTATGCCATGGCGTGGCGTCCGTCGTCCCTCCGTCCGTCCGTGCTTCTTCTTCGTCAAAAACTTCTTCTAGAAATTAATTGATGTGTATATTGTACACTGGTCTCGACGTTGTTAACTCTAATCAGCCACGAGTCGTTATTAGTTCGCGTCATAACAAAGTGGCCATCACTCACGAGCGGGAGCATGTCCAGATACTCGCCATCGCGGTCTGGATTCTGGGGCGCGATCCCGTGGAATTGCGCGGCCGCACGGACACGCTCCGCGCGGGGCCTCCGCGAGGAAACGCCCCAGACCCATGAGGTCGTGGCCCAGGGGCCCAGCCGGTGAGGCCGTGAATGCGGATGTGTGTTCTGCCCGCAACTCATGGGTCGAGCTGGCTCGAGAAGTGCCGCAGGATGATAGGGTCCAGGGCAATGGTCGAGCCAGAGCCGAAATAGAGTCGAACCAGAATCGAACAGAGCCGCTGGCTGTGCCTCATAGTCGAGCTAGAGTCGAACTCGAGTCGAACCAGAGTCGAACTGATCCGCTGGCTGGGCCCCTGACAGACCTCCCAAACGAACATCGAAACGATCTGGCTCCAGAAACGCCGCGGAGAGATCCCAAACATCCGACTTCGTGATGTTCTCACATCGTCGACCCCCAGAGGTCTAGACCCCGGGGCCCCCGGAGACCGAACACGGCCCGAACAAAAAACCCTTCGTGAGTCTCTGCCAACGACGAGGGGAGGGAAAGCGCCAGGGAGGGCCAGTCGTGCTGCCCCACGGTGTGGCACCTCTCCGCGGCATCGGATCTTTGGGTGTGTGCACGGGCGGGGACCGCACGCCGCGCTGGGGTTCCGGCGGCTCGGGCGTAGAACTCCTTGAGCACCACGAGCGCCTCAGGGGGAGCAGAAAAGCAGGAGACTCTCTGCTTCTCAGATCAGGCATCGCACCGCAAAATGGGCCCTCAACCTCAAGAACTGTACCTCAACCTAAAGACCTAAAGTGCTGCACCCCCACCTCCAGCACTGCACCCCAGACCCAACCAAAACAAGGGCGCCTCACGTCGCGCTTCGTGCTGCGCGAAGCGCCAGAGCGCGAATGACTTCGCGCGTTCTCGCGCCGCCACCCAGGGGAGAAAAGGAGGATGAGGAGGAGTGGGAGCCGAACCGCGAAGCGCGAATACAGGCCGGCCGGGAGAAGTGGGTAGAAACATGACGCAGGAAGGCGTTGCAAGTAGGTTGGGCTTCCGCCCGCCCCCTGCAGAGGCGGGAAGAGGAAAAAGAAACCAGTCGATCCTGGAAGCAGGAGGGCGCCAACGGCAGATTGGGATCTGGGAGTCCAAACATGCCCTACGTTCAACGACCGGCGCGCAACTTTAGGTCGGGCGTGTCCCCCCAAATACCCAAGACAGATTCCAAGAATGCCCCAAAAATGATCCAACACTCCTCCCCCGACTATGTTTTGGCTATTCTTGAGTATTCCCAGTGGAGAGGGACAGGCCCGACTTCGGCGTGCCTTCGCGCCCTCGAGGGCGCGCCCCTGCAGGCAGGAGAGCCCAGAGTCGAATCGATAAGTCGGATCGGCGATCGAAATGAATCGGATCGGCGGAAATCGGCAGCCGAGTCGGGAGAAGTCGGATCGGCGGAAATCGGCAGGCTAGTTTGCCTCCAATGAGAAATCGGAACCCACATCGGAATCCCAAGTCGAATCGAATCGGAATCGGAAGCCGTCGAAGTCGAATCGAATCGAATCGGAGAAATCGAAACGAGCCCTGTGCAGGAGCAGGAGGGCGGCAGGGCAGCAGCACCTCTGGCGCTGGAGCCTGCCAGGGCCCGCGCGCGGGCCAGGGCCGTCTGCCCCCCTGCCCGCGGCGGGGAGGGCAGGGGACCTCGCCCTGCCCTGAGGTCGGGCGTGACCCCCTACAGGCGGATCTTGAAGGGGCCCTGGGACACACAGATAAACACACACACAAACAACAGCACTCCCCACATGTTTCCACATGTTTTTTGGATGTTTGTCTTCCCCCCACTTCCCGTATGGTCTACCATATTTTCTGGGGGATCGAAGATTAGTTGTGTCTGTGTGTTTTTTCCCCTCCTGAGATTTGACGGAAAAATGCGAGATAATCCGAAAATGCCCCCAAGTGGTCAAGTGGCCAGAAATCGTCCCCAGACTACGTTTGGACTACTCTTGAAGATGCCCCCCCCTGCAGAGGGACAGGTCCGACCTCGCCCTTCCCTCCTGCGAGGCCCTGGGCCCGCGTGTCCCCCCACAGTAGGAGACCTGAAAACTGGCACCACCACCAGCAGCACAGGCGGCTGCCTCCACATGGGGGAAGGTGATCCCAGATTTAGGTGCTGGCAATGATACCTCGGCCACCTCGGAAGCCAGAACATGACCACCATCACCGAGGTCGGGATCGTATTCCTTCGGTGGTGGCACGCCGCCGATCTTGCCGTTGGTGTCGACCTCCAGGCCTGCGATGCAGGCGGACTTGAAGGAAAGAATGCACAAATAATCCGAAAATGCTGCCCAGTGGTCAAATGGCCAAACATCGTCCCCAGACTGTTTTTGCAGGCCCGACCTCGCCCTGCCCTCCTGGGAGGCCCCAGGGCCAGGGCCCAGGAGGGCAGCCTCCTCCTCCTCCTCCTCCTCCTCCTCCTCCTCCTCCTCCTCCTCCTCCTCCTCCTCCTCCTCCTCCCCCCCACCCTCCTCCTCCTCCTCCTCCTCCTCCTCCTCCTCCTCCTCCTCCTCCTCCTCGAGGACCCTGGGAAAGAAAGAAGGGGCCGCTTTTGCTACTGTCTCCGTTCTGCCGTTTTTTGCTCCTGGCCGGCTCCGACGCCATTGTTCTGCCGGCTCCGGCGCCGCTATGGTTCTCCTTTGCCGGTCCCGGCTCCAATTCTGGAGCCGTTGTTGTTGCCGCTTCCGGTTGCCGTATTTGTTTACCGCTTCCAGTTTCAAGAGACATTTTTTTCCGAAACTGAGAAAAAAGGGCCTGCCGTTTCTGCGGCCCACTAAGGGCAGCGAGGCACCAGGAACTCTGATAGACAAGCACGTTCCACTACTCGCCTGGAGACTGCTCGCAAATGGCCTGGATCAGCCGCGGAAGATTTACGATCCATGGCATCGAGGCAAGCATATGTGTCTGCTCGGACGTTTGCGAGTATGCACTTTGCGAAGAATGGAACGCGCTTGGCGATCTGAGTCCGAGTAAAGAACATGAGCCCTCCGCCGGCTAAAACACTCCAGGCCATAAGAGCACCGACCTCCAGGATGCACAAGAACATCCAGCAAGCACGAAGAACGTCAGAGCACACCCCCGGACCGACCTCGATCTTCTACCCAGGCCCGACTGCACTCTGGATGGGGCAATAATACCCCCCCCTGGATCCGCTCGGGGGGGGGGGGGGGCACGTGCTGTCGGAACGGGTGGAGGGGGGGTTGGAGGAGAAGGAGAAGGAGGAGGGGGTGGTGGTGGAGGAGGAGGAGGGGGAGGAGGAGGAGGAGAGGAGGAGGAGGAGGGAGGAGGAGGAGGAGGAGGAGGAGGGAGGAGGAGGGGGAGGGGTGCCAAGCCCTGTCGGAAGGTTAGTCGCCCACCCCTCGATTAACATCCCACCCAGGGTATCCCCGTCGAGTTCTCAACTGGTCCTGGCAAGTCTGCGCGTCTGCAGGGCCGTTCTTCCCTGCGCTCCTGGAGCGTCAGGGAAGAACGGCGTTCTTGCGGGCAGTTGTTGTTCAGCCGCGGCGCTCTTCCTCGCGTCTCGGCCTCCGGGGGCCGTCGCTCCTTGCCCCCGGACCACCAGAAAGAGATCCAGGCCGCGGGCTGACAAAACTCATCGTCGGATGCATGGGAGGGGAGGGGAGGGGAGGCGAGACGAGGGGAGGGGAGGGAAGGGAGGGGGGGGAGGGAAGAGAGGGGGGGAGGGGGGGAGGGGAGGGAAGGGGAGGGGAGGGAGGGAGGGAGGGAGGGGGAGGGGAAGGGGAGGGGGGGGGGAGGGAGGGAGGGAAGGGAGGGGGGGGGAGGGAAGGGAGGGGAGGGAGGGGAAGGGAGGGGAGGGGAGGGGAGGAGAGGAGAGGAGGGACTGGGAGAGAGAAGGGGGCTGAGAGGAGAGAGAGAGAGAGAGAAGGAAGGAAGACGAAGGCGAACGGAGGGCGGGAGGAGGGAGGGGGGGGGAATGGAAAAGAGAGAGGACGGGGAGGGAGGAGGAGAAGGACAAGGACATCCGCACAAGGGGGTTCAGCGTCAAAACACCTACGCTGGTGCCTTGCGCGCTTCTGCCAAAATCCACTGCGATTGGTCGTGCAATAGCCCTGCCTTCTCACTAGGGCCGGCAGGGGGGCATACCACGTTGCTCAAGGACTGAGCTCCGAGGTGACACCGTAAGAGAGGCTCGGAGGGAAGGAGGGAGAAGAGAGGAGGGAAGGAGGGTGGAGGGAGGCGGAGAGAAGAGAAGGGCTCCAAATGGCGATTGGAGGCTCGAACAAACGTTCAGGGGTCTCGGGGGAAGCGGAAAGGGGAGCCCCTCCCGGGCAAGTATAGGGCTGTCCTCCCCCCATCCCCCTGGCGCACACTCCGAGTTTCAAAGTCCGCACAAGACACGGAGGGACGGCGTCAATCCAAGAAAACATAACAGCCCATGAAGAAGTACACGGTGAAAGTCCAGCGCGCCGCGGATACCAGGCAGCCACATACAGAAACGAGACCAACGCCCTGCAAGCCGCATTCATAACCTCTTACGCGGTCCAAATCCCAAAGACATCACACCGCTCCTCCTGCTCCTCCTCGCTCTCCTTCTCCACACCTCAGCTGCAGCATCATCCGCTTGTAAAGCTTCATCAACGTTTGAGCTATTCACAAGTCGGCCTCACCACGTGCACCCTAGCGTCCGCGTACCGCACATCGCCTCACATGCGCCTTCCTCGTCATCGCGCTCCTCCTCAGCACCAGCATCATCATGCCCGGGGGCACTTGAGGTGCAGCAGGCACTCCCGTGGGCAGGGGCGAACCACAGGCCGTTCTGCCCTGTCCAGTTGGGCTGGCCTCCCCGTGCACAAAGGGGTGAACCAACAGGCCCGGAGCAGGCCGCCCCCCGAGCACGACCTCCCCTCGAGAGGGGGGTAGAGCAGCAGCGAGGCTCCTGCGGCGCGGCCACTCGAGCGGCGGGCATGGGGGTTCGGTCGCTACTGGAGGTCGCGGTGTCATGGAGCCTGCTGCCCCGTCTCATCATCATCAGCATCATCAGCATCATCATCATCACCACCACCACCACCACCACCACCATCATCATCATCATCATCATCATCAGCAGCAGCAGCAGCAGCAGCAGCATCAGCATCAGCATCATCAGCATCATTATCAGCAGCAGCAGCATCCTCATCCTCATCATCATCATCATCATCATCATCATCATCATCAGCAGCAGCAGCATATTCATCATCATCATCATCAGCAGCATCATCGGCATCATCATCAGCAGCATCATCATCCTCATCCTCATCCCCATCCTCATCAGCGTCATCATTATCAACATCATCAGCATCAGCATCATCATCAACATCGTCAGCATCATCAACATCGTCAGCATCAGCATCATCATCAGCATCATCATCAGCATCATCATCTTATCCTCATCCGAATCATCATCCTCATCCTCATCCTCATCATCATCACCATCATCATCATCAGCAGCAGCATCATCGTCGTCGTCATCGTCGTCTGCAGCAGCACCACCACCACTACCATCATCATCCCCCCGTTTTCACTTTCCCCTCGCTTCTTGATCGTCACCAGCATGATAACAAGACCTCTCAGACAATACATGCTCGTTCTTTGCGCTCTGTTATGATCCCAAGATGGCCTCCAGACGAACCAAAACCACCCCGATACAGCTGCAGCATGCCCCAAGACCAGCCCAAGCCGACCCGAAGCTCCCCCCAGATGCCCCAAAATGCCTCCAACAGGACTCGAGGCGGCCCCGGGTATGCGCAGACCTTCCCATATTACGCATGCGGAGCGACCACGCCATCTCCGCCGCCAACTCCCCCTCTTTATTGCATTCCTGCCTCATTCCCTCCCCCTGAGGGGAGCCGAAAGGGGGGGACTGGCTCAGAGGGGGGCATCGGCCTGACATCGACCAAAGATGCGGCGACACCCCCCCGACCCCGAAACGGAGAACTCCTGGGCCGAAATTAAATGTGTGGTCGTGGCTTGCGGGCTTGGGATGGGGGGAATCTGTGTGTGTGTGTTCTTGTCTCTCCTGATTGTCGTCATCCTCCCGAGTCCTCCGTTACTGGCCCTGGGGACCTGGCAACAGGCCCCAGAGGCCGAAAATCGGCAACGGCCTTCCACCAGGCACGCGCTGACACGGATTACGGGCCCGTCGATCTGGCGGGTGGGCGCCAAATCCACGCCTCGGGGGAAGTACCCAGCCAGTGCCGGCTGCTTTCGCGGCGGAGCGCGACGATTTGCACGTACACGGGACCCGTCGCTAATCCACGCCTCTTACCCAGAGGAAGCAAACAAGAAACGAAACAAACAACAACAACCACAACAACAACAACAACAACAACAACAACAATCATTTTACCCGAACGCTCAGTGTTCTCCCCAGTGCCAGGGTTTTCTTGCGACACCAGCCAATACCCCCACTTCGTGGGGGGGCCGTTCAAGCTCTACCAAATATCCAAACGACTCTTCGAGACCACCCACACCCAGCTTCCCGCCCTATGACGTTGGGACACTTCACTTCGTGGCGTGCGGACGACCCTGGCTACTACACTGGCGTGGGGTACACACCCACAGAGGTTGATCACATCTGTTACATATGATGTGGTACACGGTACACGTGAGATGGTACGCAGTGCCAAGATAGTTGGTCACATTTTTGGGGCAAATTCGTGGGGATGCGATTACAGAAGTACATGTGTTACACTGATGTTATACAGTCCCAAGGATGACGCATGCATTGCTCATAGACTCATGGCGCTATGATCCTAACTCTCAGTGCCCAACGCGCGCGTGCACAGCCAGACGGAGGGAGAGAAACACATGTATACAAGGTTCGTGACATACGCACGGTCCACCATGTTGTAAACGATCGCATGCACGGTAAGTTCTGAAATTATACGTATGTACAAGCAGACATGCGAGGGAGAAAGGGAGATGGCCATCGACAGTTCCAATACGGCTCCAAGGCGGCCAGTCGAGGGAGGAAGGGAGATGGCCAATCGAGGGAGGAAGGGAGATGGCCATCGATAGTTCGAAGGGAGATAGTGCGTTTTCATATGTTTTCTGAACATCGCATCTTGAAATTATTGAAAACCCATTGTGTTTGGCAGGATTTCGACATGCGCGCGCGGCGGCCGCGCGCATGTGCACTTCGTCTCATTTTTTGCAAGGGATGGTGGCCCTCGCAGGCGCGCAACCGTTGTTGGAGAAGTTCAAAGCACCTGAAGAAGTAGCACGCAAAGACCCTTTTGACAGAAATGTTTAAAAAGTGGTGTGTTTCCTATGAATCCGCAAGAGCGCGCGGAAGGACATTTTGACAATTTTTTCTTAAAAAACCATTGGGATGTTTTTATGTTAAAATCGTTACGAAACCTAAGGTTTTGGAAGGATTTCGTCTTGCGAGCGCGAATGTCCACTTTACCTTATTTTTTGCAAGGGATTCTTGAAATTTGATCAACTAAGAACAAGAATTGTCATTTTCTATTGTTTTTTGCAAGGGAAAACGAGCGTCAACAAAAAACCGGATCCGGGGGTAATCCACTTTTCTGAAACTTTCGCAGAAAATGATGAAAATGTAGCTGCGGCCTAGGTTTTGGGCGGGGGGCGTGCACCAGGGGGTCCAACAATAATAATTCTTTAGAAGTAATAGTGTTCAACAACAACAACAGCAACAGCAAACAGCAGCAGCAACAGCAACAACAACAGCAACAACAACAACTACAATTTTAAGACTGATCGCCCTTATATGCTCGAGTGTCCAATAACGCGTATTTCCCAAACCCTCGATACCCGCCCTCTTCGTCTTCGATCGAACCCCTTTTGGGGGGTATACCTTTCTTACCTGCAGGCCGGGCCCCGGCAAGCGGCGGGGCGGCCGCGGACCGTCGGCCTGGCCAGCGGCAGCGCTGATCGGCGGGGCGGCCGCGGACCGTCGACCCGACCCCAAGAGGGACGGACAGGGGACCGACCACGACGACGACGACGACGACGACGACGACGACGACGACGACGACGGCGACGTCGAAGACGACGGCGACGACGACGACGGCGACGACGAGCGAAAGCGAGAGCGAGAGAGAACGACAGCAGGGTCACGAAGGGCACGAAGTAGGCCACGAAGGGCGACAGCGGGGACACGAAGGGAATGCGTATGGGGCCACGAAGAGCGCGAACGAGCGGGGGCCACGAAGTGCAGATAATGCGGGGCCACAGAAGGCAACTATGGGGCCACTGAGGGTAGCAACTGGGCCACGTAGGACAGTGAGGGGGACACAAATGGCGACAGCGGGGCCACGAAGGGCATGCACATGGGGCCACAACGGGCGCGACTCCTGGGTGCCTGGGTGTCGGGAGCGCGGCGCTTGCGCAAATTGTAGGAAATTCCAACGCAAGGCCATTTCATTCTACAGTTAGTTGCAAGCAAACTTCCAGCGAGAGCGCGACTCCAGAGCGCTGGGAGAGCGATTCTTGAATAAATTGTAAGGAAGTCCCAAGCGAGAGCGCGAATCCTGAATAAAATGCGAGGAAGTTTTGGGCGGGAGCGGGGGTCCTGGCTAAATTGTCTCAGGCGGGAGCCGTTGTTGTTGTAACCCGGGGGCCAGGCCCAGTTTGAGCAGGAAGATTTTCCCTGTCAAAAAACAGGATGCGAGCGTCGAGGGGCACACTTTGATTGAGAACATATAGTATGCACCGGTTGGGGGGATCAACAATAATTATTCTCCAGAAATGAGAATTCAACAACAACAACAACAACAACAACAACAACAACAACAACAACAACAACAACAACAACAACAACAACAACAACAACGACAACGACGACGACGACGACGACGACGACGACAACAAAAAGCTGTCGGAGCTCCACGCAGAGCTCCGATAGTTTGGGTCCATGCCGTCTGTTCGCGAAGGCGCGCACAAGGGGGTCAATTAGGGGAGGGGGGAAGGCTTCTTGGGAAGGAGGCTGCTTCTTCAGGAGGCGCGGGCCATGCATCGACAGAGAAGGCCCGCGCCTTGCAAGGAGGAGGAGGAGGAGGAGGAGGAGGTGGAGGGAGGAGGAGAAGGAGGAAGAGAAGGAGGAGGAGGAGGATCGAGGAGGAGGAGGAGGAGGAGAAGGAGGAGCCCACCGTACAATTTGGGTGTCTCTCAGACGTCCAAGCCATGCAACAAGTTACTTGGGCATGGATTTTCAGCTGCGTCTGATTCGAAGGATTTGGGTGTCTCTCAGACGTCCAAGCCATGCAACACGTTACTCGGGCATGGATTTTCATCAGCAGTTCTTCGCCAATGTCGTGGAGTTCCTAGCGGCTCAGTTTGTGGATGTTGGTGTCTGATCACGTCTGCAGATTCTCTCTTGGTGCTGGATGCTCTGTTGGGCTCTATCAGGTACCGAGGCGGCGGATTACTCATCTTCTGGAAGCCCGTCTGGCCCCTCTTGGGGACGGGTCTGATCAGGTGCTGTGTCTTCGCGCTCTTCATCGACCTCCTCTGAGGTCCAGGTGCAGCCGAGGCTGCGCCCGTCCAAGCGTCGTCCGCAGGGAGTGACCTGCGGCCGACCAGCGGGTAAATCGGTAAATAGGAGGAGGAGGAGGAGGAGGAGGAGGCGGAGGAGGAGGAGGGTGCTTCAAAGAGGCCTTCCCCCCTCCTCTTACCACCCGCTCTGCGCGTGGCCGAGCATGGAAACTTCGAGACCCGGAGTTGTCTCGATGCTCTCGGCTTTTGGGGTCAGCGTAGCCCTGCGCCAGCCCATGGGCACGGCGCCTCGGCGAGACAAAGAGCAATGGAGGAGAAGGAGGGGGAGGAAGAATGACAAGCGCTGCCAAACTGCGGCCGCACGTGTTGTATCAACTGGTACACGAACTGAGCCCATTGCAACTTTGGGGAGCCTGGGGAAAGTATCGAGACTCCTGGGGACCACGCACTGGAAAAATCAAGACGCCGAACCTCTGGGGGGGAGGGCGACGACGACTCTTAGATCCGGGCGCTGCAACCTTTTTCACAGCGGGCGTCTTCGCCAGGCTTCGGGCCCCAGAGCCCTCCCAGATCGGTGATTCGTGTTAAACCCCCACCCAAAAAAAAAACCAAACCCTTTGGGAGAGGACCCAAGTTAGAACGGCCCAGAACATTAGGGACAGGGGGGCCTTCAGCAGAGGTATCAGGCCAAACCGCCCAGATGTGTTGCCCCTAATTAGTGCGAAGGCGGGGACCCAAGTGAGGCCACGTCTTGATCGTGCTACAAGGGTTAGGGGCTCTCTTGTTCGCGACGAGTCTGCGCTTCCTCGATTCCGCCGCGATGCTACGACGCGCGGGGGCACTGCCCCTGCCCGCGCCTGCGCAACCGCCGTCTGGGCCTCCTGCGCGTCCTTGATCGTCTGCGCGTTCTTCTCCTCCGGTGGCCACGGCCGGGGTACGGGGCTCTGCGCCACGAAAGTGTATACACAGACACCCTCCGACGAATTTGCATGTACCTTAGGTGGGAGGGTGGCAGTGCACACCGTCGCTGACTCTCGGTGGAAACTCGTGCACCGCCGCCCTCCCCCTGAGGCCCAGGAGCGATCCACCGGAGGGCGTCTGTGCGTCTATTCTTGCGGCGGCGGCCCGACCGACCCCGGGAGCCGACGTCGCGGAAGAACTGCAGCGTCGCGAAAACAGCTCACGACCAGCGAGCCCCAGGCCCCGCCGCTCTTCCTCCAGCCGGATCGATCTGTGACGGCCCCTGGGTCCGGAGCAGGGTAAAATTTGTCTTTCGTCTTTTTTCATATATGTGTATATATACATATATATATATACACGTATTCGTTTTTCAAATGCAACGACCCAATCTCAGGGGACCTCCTCCCCTCTCGATCGAGATCTCGTGAGGCAGCGGGCGAGCACAAGCACGCTCCGGCCCCGATCGGCCCCGATCGCGCCGGCAGCACGGCGGAGCCGGGGGCCAGCCGGCAGGAGCCCCCCGAGCTGAGGGCGCGCCAAACGCTCGCTCCTGAGCAGCCCCGGCGAGGACACGAGCCACGGCCCGACCATGGGGAGCCACACCTGGGAACCGCGCGTCTATATACACCAAGGTATCGGGGCCCTGTCCCATGGGGCTCTGCAGAAACGCAGAGGGACAGCGCACATAATAGAACTGTCTGGCAGGTTTCTCTGAGCGACAGGTGTTGAAAGAACTACATACGCTGTGTCTGGGGTGCGGTGGACAGACATAGCATAGTCTGGAGGACAAGAGCGCTACGCAGCGACTCACGAAGGGGGCAGCGGGAGACCACAACCAAGAGCTTCTAGGACGGGGCTGAGACGAGCATAAATATATTCCAGAATGTTCTGAGAAGGCCGCGGCGCCCGAGACATCCTCAAGAGCCGCAAGATTACTCGATTTGATCCTCGTCCTGGCTTCGTCTGACCTCCGCCATCCCCTAAGATCCGACGTAGCGAAACATTGCAAAATCGTGAAAAAGCACGCCCGGAGCCCTAGACCCCATCTTTCTGTCATTTTTCCAGCCAGATCGACGTGTGAGGGTCCCGTGGCCCGAAACCGGGCGAAAACCCCCAGCTCCAAAAACCTGGAGTTGCCAGGATCGGCGGTGGGCAAACCTCCCTTTTTTAGCGAACCACCCGTCAGTGAAAAAACGGCCTAAGACCGAAACCGAGGGACCCGGCCCCGCGAAAATGACGGCCGCGACGCCCTCTCGCGAGCCGAAAACGACCAATTCCTCAATCGACGTGTCAGGGTAGGAGGTCGATCCAACCTCCGGTAAAGACCATCCCGGCGGAGGAGCTCCGCTGGCGGTGCGCCGCCCTCCCAGGGCCCCGGGGGCTCTCCGAGAACGGCCCCGGCCCCGGGAGGAGAGGCCGGCCACAGGGAGGAGGGGTCGAGGGTTGCAAAGCCTTGGTTCGCTAGGGACGGGTTGCCCCCCAAACGACGAAAAGCCTTCCCAAAGCCTCCCGAAAAGCCTCCGGAAAAGCCTCCCGGTGTTCGGATGGTTTCGGGAGGGCCTGGGCTGTTTTGGAAGGGAGCCAATCCCTAGCGAACCCTGGACTTTCTAAGTCGAGGGTTCCTGGGGCACCGGGAACTCGTGTTTTCCCCCGCGCAATTCTGGAAGGGAGGAGGGGGAGCGGACACGGCAGCACGATGACAAACTCGGCGACGCAAACGTGGAGCCACTGAGCTACCTCCGATGGCGTGCACGCGAACGAGGGCTCATGGGGCACCGCGAGCGTTTTCAGATTCGGCGCTTCGACATGGAGCGAGGGGGGGGGAAGAGGGGGGGGTCTGGCTCTGGACCTCTACTCAGTACAACTGTTTGGAACAAGGCTACCATAGGAAATCCTGTGGGGAGGCGGGGACCCCGTGCTTACTCCACCTGCTTGAAAACAGGCGCCAAAAGCAGCCAAGATCTACTCCATGGGGGCCAAGAGGGGGGCGTCCAAGAGGGGTGTGTGCAAATCATGGCCCGAGGCATGTGCGCGGCCCAGGGGGGGGACAGGGACGTAATGAAATGAGAAGAGGGGCCATGAAATTTGAGGAAATATCATGGCCCACGCCATGATATCCCCCCCCCTAGTCTTCACCCCCCTCTTGGCCGCTCCCGACAATCAGAGAAGAAGCATTCAGGACCCCACCGGGCATCTCTCTGAGCTTGGGCATGCTGTCTCGGGCGCTACAGCAAGTGCGGCGGATGCAAGCGAGCTTGAGGAGGAGGAGGAGGAGGAGGAGGAGGAGGGAAGGGAAGGGAAGGAGGACTGAGGAGGAGGCGATGGGGAGGGGAGGAAGAGCGGGCAGAGCAAGTGATCCGCTCAGTTGCCAGGTTTGCTCGAGCCTCGGCCTGCCAAATCTCTTGCGTCGTGACTTCTCCACGGGCCACAAGAAGTCTGGACACTTTGCCCGCGGCCGGCTTGTCCTCCCGAGTCAGTTTTGACGGACCCGGGGTCCAGTATTAAATCGGGCGTGTCCCCCTACAAGCAGATTTTGGAGGAATCGTGAAACATACTCACAAAATACTCCCAAATAATCAAAAATACTCACGGAAGGCCGCAGAGGGCGAGGAGCTCCAGGTTCCCTTTCTCAGACCACACGATTGCTTTTCAATCGCGGCGCGCTTCCTGAACTTCGGCGCCTCTGGGGGGGGGGGCCTTGTCCAGAGGCCTCCTAGCTGGGGTTCGAGTGGATGGGGTCGAGTAGATGGGGTCGAAGGATCGCGCCGCATCGCCGATGCATCGGCTTTGCATCGGCGATGCATCGGTGACGTCGACGATGCATAGGCGACGTCGGCGTGGGGAAACACGGTCTCCACATCGAGCCGCATCGTCGATGCATCGGCGATGCGCACGATTCTCCGACCCCATCTACTCGGACCCCATCTGGGAGACCCAGATTATCAAAAGTAACCCGCTATGAAAACTGCCCCCATGGGAAGCGGCCGGAAAAAACGGGGCCACGGATCACGAAAAAAACACAGATCGTCGCATGTCTGGATTCACCTCAAGGCCCCTGTCATCCCCGAGATCGGACGCCGGAGCAAAAAATACAACCTCGCGGAAAAAAAAACTCAACTGGAGCCCTAGAGACCACATCTGTCTGCTGCATGTTTCGAGCCAGATCGATCGGTGCGTGCCCTGGGGCCCGAAACTGGGCGAAGACGCCTGGCCAGGAACCAAAAAGACATGCGATGTCTCGATGTTTCCATACCGCACGGGGGTCCCCGAGGCCCCGAACTGTTCCTCGGCCCCGGTGTTGCACCGCCAGTCGTTCTGGGAAGGACCCGGGGCCGGGCGAGGGCCGCCAGGAGCCGAAGACGGCGGACAAAAAAAACAAAAAAAAAAAAAAAAAAAAAAAACTCGCGATGTCTGCACGGCCCCCAAGAAGAGTTTCGGGTTCGTGGCGAACCCGGGAGGCCCCGCCAGCGCCCGCGGTCGACTCCTTCTCCTTGGCGCGCAGCTCCGTCGCCTCGGCCATGGCCTTCTGCAGCTCGGCGATCGCCTCCGCGAGCTCGGCGAGGTCCTGCGTGATCTTGGCGACCGACCTCGGGAGCTCTCGAGGGCTCCGAGTGCAAGCCGAACGGACCCCTCCCCCGAGATCCGGGAGTCACATCTCCTTTCACACCCGGCGTTTTCGCCTGGTTTGGGGGGCCCCGGACCCCCACGCCTCGATGCGGTGAGAAGGACGCAGCGTCAATACTGGGTCTGGGCTTCTGGTCGAAGTGTTGCATTTGTCTGCGACGTCGGATCTCAGGGCCGAGCAGAGGGTCTCTCCTATAGTGCTGGCCACCTCCAGGAGCGCGGCGACTCCGAGGCGTAACACGTGAGCGCCGGCTGCCAGCGTCCTCCCGAGACGGGTAAGACATGGACAGCGTGGATGCCTGTCGTTGTCTTCCGCCTTCGGGAGGCAGGAGTTCGATTCCCGGGACGGTCAGGCAGAGACTCTGGACGAAAAGCCAGCTCCCTTCTGCGGCAACTCATGGGAGCCTCCCATACCGTCCTGTTGGCTCTGGCCAATCGACACGCATCGACGTTCGTCGGCGCAAAATCGACGCTGCATCGGCGCTGCCTCAGTGAGTACCAAACGCGAATCGACCCGAATGCATTCCAAGACACAGAATCACGAGGGCAGACAATGCTCCCACGATCTGCTACCGAGAGGGCTCCAGGGCCCGCGCACCGAAGCAGAAAGGCAGCGGAGGTCTCAAAGAGTCGCAGTGGTCCGCGAGCGGCCCCGAAGGGCCGGGCTCACCCGGGAGCAGCCCCCGAACGGGCCAGCGGCATGCCAGATCCTCCGCCTCCTCGCCCTCCTCCCTCGCCCTCCTCCCTTCTCCTCCTCCTCACCCTTCTCCTCCATTCCATTTCCTCATAAATACCTCCTCCCTGTCGCACCCCAAGACGTGTCCGTAGGGCGTGCTGGGCGTTTCGCCTGAGACGGTCCTTAACCTTACAAGTTGCAGCTGATTCACAGATGGAGGGCGGGTGGTTTCCAAAATGTGGCTCTCGCCTCAGAGCCGCTCACATTCGTTTTATAAAGTTTGCAAGCATGTAATCGATAAAAAGAGGCCGCCCTCTTACAATGGAGCTCTCGCCTTAGCGCCGCACACATTCGTAGAGCTTAACAACAATTTCAAACGTCCTATGGCTGCCATCCCGGAAATGGTCTTTGGGCACGATGTAGGACTGTCAGGGCGCAACGGTTACGATGATTCGCGGCGTTGAAGTCCAAGGAATAACATTCTGGCACGATTCAGGATCGTCAGGACGCAACGGGAACGTCGACTCGCGGCGTTGAAGTCCCAAGAACAGTGCCCTGGCACCGTTCATAATTTCATGCGCTTACCTTCCAACGGAGCACTTCCCTGAGTGGACATGAACCCTTGTAGGGACATGTTGTGAAGGGGGAACTTGGAGGGATGGCGTATTGCAACGCCGTTTATGAGTCGTGGCTTTGCACTGGTCCTCCTCCTCCTCCTCCTCCTCCTCCTCCTCCCCCTCCCCCACCCCCTCCTCTCTCTCCTCTCCTCCTCCTCCTCCTCCTCCTCCTCCTCCTCCTCCTTCTCCTCCTCCTCCTTCTCCTCCTCCTCAATCTATTCTCCTTCTACCCCCCCCCCTGTCGCACCCCCAGACGTGTCCGGCTTGGGCGTTTCGCCTGAAATACGCTCACCATTCTTGCCCCTGAAACATCAAAATTCCCTAGGGTTTCGCGGATGGAGCGCGGCTCCTTTTTCAAAATGTGGCTATCGCCTTAGCGCCGCGCACATTCGTTTGAAGAGTTTACAACCATCTTAAAACTTCCTGTCTGCCGTCCCAGAAATATTTTTTCATCACGATGTGAGACTGTCAGGGCGCAACAGTTACGATGATTCGCGGCGTTGAAGTCCCAGGAATAGCGTTCTGGCACGATACAGGATCGCCTGGACGCAACAGTAGCCTTGATTCGCGGAAATCCCAAGAGCAATGTGCTGGCACGGCTCAGGATGTTTTGATGCTTCTCTGAGTGGAAGGGATTTCTTGCAGGGACATGTGAAGGGGGAACCTGGAAAGTGAATTCATTGTGTCATCGCTGATGAGCCTTGGGTTTGCACTGATCCTCCTCCTCCTCCTCCTCCACCTCCTCCTCCTCACTCTCGTCCCTCCTCCTGCTCAATCTTGAGCTGATACCGACCGTCCCGGCATTTCTGTAGGCCTACCACGAAATCTTCTTATAATCAAAAGTGATCTAGTACACACAATGTTCTTAGAACAAAAACCCGATGTGCTAAAGCAAGACAATCTCGGCCAGAAATTATCTAAGAACATTTCGTGGAAACCACAAAAGGTTCTTAGAACATTGTGTGGTAGGCCTATTGGCACGCCAGGACGCTTCGTCACTGCTTGACCATCCCTGTTCCTTCTTCCTCCCTCCCTCCCTCCCGCCCCCCCCCGTCGCACCCCCCAGAGACGTGTCCGCAGGCCTGGCGGGGGGCGTTTCGCCCCGGACCCCCGCACATTTGTTCGATGGCCCTGGAGGCTACAAAGTTCGCAACAGTCTTTGCGAGCAGGGGATCGACTACAGAGTTGAGTTACCCAGAACTCGATTTGCTCGTCGAATTTACGAGGATCGCGCGGAGTGCTCCATTGCTCGACAAGCACTCTACGTATGCATCGTAAGTCCAACGAGACAAAACAATTTGAGGGTAACTCAATATTCTGTAGTCGATCCCCGACTCGAACCTTCCAGGACGGAGGGCGGGCCGCTCCACAGCCGGCGATGACCTGGTCGCTCCGCTGGCCTCCCGGGAGGCTCGCTCGGGCTCTCCCTGCGCCCGGTGCGGAGCGGATCTTTGGTCCGCCGCCGCAGCCGCCGCTGGCACTGTCGCCGCCGCCGCCGTCGTTCCTGGGGAGACCAAAAGATATGCCAATGCCGCTGCAGTGGCGGCTCGACAACAAGAAGCCTTCCACCAGAAGCCCAACCCTGCGACCCCAGGATGTCCATTAACTTTGGGTGTGGGAACGGCATGCCTCCCATGGCAAAACCTTCGAAACCCGAGAACCCATGGCACCCTGGAGGCAAGCAGGGCGTGTCTTGGCGTGGGCCCCCACTGTACTACCTGCACCTGTCCAGGGACGCCTTCTGATCAGGACCTCAAGGAATCCAGCCACGAGACGAGGATCTCCAAGGAGGCCCAAACAGGCGAGGACGAGGCAAGGGTGGCGTCATCGGTACCGTTCCCTCCTCTGAGTTCTGGATTGATGACGACGACGACGACGACGACGACGACGACGACGACCACGACCACGACCACGACCACGACCACGACCACGACGACCACGACCACGACCACGACCACGACCACGACCACGACCACGACCACGACCACGACCACGACCACGACCACAACCACGACCACGACCACGACCACGACCACGACCACGACCACGACCACGACCACGACCACGGCGGCTGCGATGGCGATGGCGAGGACGGCGACGGCGGCGGCGATGGCGGCGGCGTCGGCGGCTCTGGGCGCCGCGCGTCTCGAGCTGGTCGATCTCGGCGTGCAGGGTCTCCACGGCCTCCGGAGGGGGGGGGCACTCTGAGGAGGCGAGCCAGGAGGATGGGAACTAGGACGAGGAGGACGACAACGAGGACACACGAGGACGAGGGCGAGGCCGCCGCCGAGGGCCCAGACGCCGCCGAGGGCCCGACGCGGCGCTGCTCCCTCTTACAACCATCCTGGTGTACATCTGCGGAGAAGGCTGGGCATGAATGCGAAGCAAAGGGCTTTCCTGGCCGCGGCGAGCCCCAGCCACGAGGAGGCAGCCCTCACAGACCAGCGTCCTGAAGCTGAAGCCGAGGCTGTGGGGGCCTAAAAAGCCCGAGAAGAGAGAGAGAGAGAGAGAGAAAGGGGCAGGCCGCCTTGGGCCGCACCCCAGGGCCACCGAGGCCCTTCCGCGCCCAGGGGGGCCCAGCGGGGACCGGGCCAGGGCCTCGGAGCGCCACGGGGCCAGGCGCGCCGGGGGGGGCGGAAGCAGCGCGCCAGCGCCTCGCGAGAGCTCCAATCACCGTCCCGACGGCAGGCGCACTGCGGCCTTTCCCCCAAGGCACGCGCGCGCACGAGCCAGAGGCCAGACGGGGGGGGGGGGGGCGCACGGAGAGAGGAAGGGGGGGGGGGCAAACGGACCGAGCTGACTCGCCCGAAGTGGTCGGGGGCGCGCAAAGCATGGATCAGCGAGCCATGGAGTCGGCGCGCGGTCGCCGAATCCATGGATCGGGGGAGGTGCCCCCCAGAAAATGCGGCAGGGGCCGCCTAGTTCGGCGACGGAATCCGCGATGTCCCACAGAAACGGGACCAGTCGCTAATCCACACCCCCTTGATCCATGTTTGCGATCGCCCGAAATGAGTGCGGAAGAACAGGGCACGATGCACAACAGCAGCTTTTGTCCGAAAGCCACGGCGGCCGCTGACGGACAGGCGACGTTCTGTCTCGAGTGGACCGTGTCCGCGGCGACACCAGCAGCGAGCCCTGTTCATCGGCAGCGAGCGAGGGGGGTAAACGAAAAAAGGCGGGCCTTCTCAGAAGGCTCGGAAGTCCCCTGGCCTTCTGAGAAGTTTTCTGAGTTTTCCCCGGAGACAGCCTCTCAGAAGACCTTTCAGAAGGCCCACTGCGCTTCTGAGAAGTCCCGCCGCCTTCTGAGAAGGCCTTCTCCTTCGCACTTCCCCCCCTGCCTCGCCGCCGAGCTCCGAATGGACGGGAAACCGCTGTCGGCCTTCGTCCCCGATCGTTTCGCATACCCATCTCGATCCTGCCGACTGGAGATTTCTCAGAGCCTGGGAGGAGGAAGAGGAAGAGGAAGAGGAAGAGGAAGAGGAAGAGAAAGAGGAGGAGGAGGAAAAGGAGGAGGAGGAGGAGGAGGAGGAGAAGGAGGAGGCGGAGGAGGAGGAGAAGAAGGACGAGGAGGAGGGTGGACCCAACGCCCCCCGTCCTCGCAGCCCTCACGGACGCCCCCAGCCCGATCTCGGGGGAGGGGAGGGGGGGCGCGGCAGCGGGGCGCGCCCCTGGGCATGGCGGCCGGAGGTGGCGCTGGCCCGAGCCCAGATCCTGAATCGCGGCAGCTTTTCTTGGGACGCACAGTACTGTGTGTCCTCCTTGGAGGCGCGCGTCCGACCCGAACATATAGTATACCCATCTTGTAGTATATCGTTTCCCGAGCGGTGTGGCTAGAAAGCGCCCACCACGACGCATATACTAGATTTCTCGGTGCGCGCGTCGCCCCTGGGGGGACAAACCACATATAGTATAAGTATGTTGGGGTGACGCCGATATCCTGGACCTGGGCCCAGCGCGGGCCGTCTTAGGACCCCTGCAGGTCAGATTGCTGAACCCCCTGCAGGTCCGATTTTTCTGGAAAGCCGGCGGGCGTTCAGAACTGGAAGGGTGCCTGCAGCCAGAGGGACCCCAGCGGGTGTGTCCGAACTCCCTGCGTCTGGTGGCTCCGTAGTACGGGTTCTCCAGTGGGCGCAGAAGCCCGGGGCCATCAGAAACGGAGCGGTCTGGAATTCTGGGGCCGCGGATCGACAAAAACACGTCGTCGGGTGTCTGAGGGGCGGCCCCGGCGGAGCTGGATCGAGTCGGGGCGTGCGCCGGATCGGGCCGCCACTGGCACGCAGTCGAGATCGAGTCGGATCGGCCGCGCCAGGATGCACAACAGCACCGTGCACGCATCGGGCCGCGTTCTGGACATGGGACGTCTTGATTGTTTAAAAACGGGGTTCCCAGAACTCCCGGCCCTTTTCGTCCCGAATCGTTGTTCGGCGGTCCTGAAGCCCGGCAAGGACCATCGGAAGCCGAAAACGGCCAACAACCTTCCGTCCTGGGTTTGTCACGATGCGAGCATGTCTGAAGGGGAAAATCACTGAAGGGTAGCGGTACGGGTACCTTTTCCTCATCCGAGGTGGCCTCCACAGCACGCGGGCTACCGAGCGCGTGCAGATGCGTTCTTCGCGGGACAGTACAGGGGGTTGGCGAATCGGCGCACGGGACTGACTTTCCCAGCGCATCCCGTCGCAAGGGGAGGGCAGGGTATCGAGGAAAGCGTCCGGCGGCTAGGTGGAGGACGGAGGAGGAGAGGGGAGGAGGAGAGGGGAAAAGGAGGAGGGAGGAGGAGAGGAGAGGGGAGAAGAAAAAGGAGGAGGAGGAGGCGGAGGAGGAGGAGGAGGGGAAGGAGAAGGGGAATGAGGATAAGGTTTACCTCCCTCTCCTCCCTGTCCTACCTCCCAGCCGACTCCTCCTCTCTCCGACTCTTCCTCCTCCTCCTCCTCCTCCTCCTCCTCTTCCTCCTACACCTGAGACATCCTGATGCACCGGAAACAGGCTGATCTTTGAGCAGGGACCGACCGTCCCGGCATTCCGATTGGCCTACCGCGACATGTTTCCAGAACCCAATCATATTCTAAGAGCATGAACAATGTTCCAGAACATAAACCCGACGCGCTAAAGCAGGACAGCTTCAGCCAGAAATGTTCTTAGAACATCTCGCGCAGACCACAATACAGTAGAGGGAAACAATTACTGAACACTCCCCTTCCCCCCCAAATTCAACGTTGGCACGCGCAGGGGAGACTACGGTCGATGTGCACCTCATCAGACCCACCGCCAACTTGGAACAGTAGGGGGAGGGGGAAGGCGTTGACAGATGGATGTGGCATGGGTGTTCGCTATTTTTGTTCCGAGGCCTGTGGGCTATTGGAAGATTATTTGGTGGGCCTAGTTAGGCAAGCCAAAATGCCTCGGCACTGCTCGGCACCCGGGTCGGCCAGGGCCATGCTGGGCTTAGGTCGGGCGTGTCCCCCTACAGGGGGATTTTGGACGGAAGGTCAAACATACCCCCAACATATCCGAATAAAAAGAAAAACAAAAACATGGTCCCCCGACTATTTTTTACTATGTTTGAGTACTCCTCCTGCAGAGGGACGTGCCCGACTTAATGCTGGGCACAGGGGCCGGCCACGCAGCAGCTCCCGGGCCGGGGCCAGCCGAGGGAGGGGAGGGGACCAGGGGCTCCCAGATCAGGGCCAGCCAGATATCAAGGGGCCCAAGGACACACAAATAAATACACACAAATCCAAGGATTCCCCATACATGTCCATATTTTCTGGATTTTCGTCTTCCCACCCACTTCACATATTTTCCAATATTTTCCTTGGAGTCGACGGTGAGCTGTGTCTGTGTGTTTCTTCCCTCCTGAAGACAGGGCGACGAGATCTCTACCCAGCCACGTGACGCCCTTCCCAATTTTTTCGATGCGGGGCCCCTGGAAGTCTCGACCCCTTCCCCAGGACCACCGGTTCTTCATCCAGGGTTGCTTTGTTGACGGTCCCGAGGTCCGGCGAGGGCCCCCCGAGGCCGAAAATGGCCAAAAGCCTCCCGTGCTGATTTCTTGACGACGCGATCATGTCTGGATACACTCGGTGGCAACTCATGGGAGCCTCCCATACCATCGCGTCGGCTCTTGCGAATCGACGCGAGTCGACGCTAAGTCGACGCTGATCGACGCTGAATCGGCGCGAATCGACGCTAGCCGACGCTAAATCGGCGCTGTCTCATCGACTCCCAGACGCTAATCGACGCTAAAGACGGAATCAACAGGGTACGCCAGGCTCCCATGATCCTCCTACCGAACAAACAGGGTCAGCCAGACAGGGCAACAAGATCTCTGCACGTCCACCGCCGCTGGCTGTGCCCATCCTGGACCCAGGAGCGGTACACACGCCTCCCTGGGCAAGCCAGCGTGCACACTGCTCCTGGGCCCAGGACGGTCCTGGCCAGCGGCGGTGCATGTGTAGAGAGCTCGTCGCACCCTCCCAGGGAGAATCCGAGGTCGACTGGCTTCCGTCAGCGCTGACGCCCGCCAGGTGCGCCCCGACGGAGGGGAGCACACCCCGGCCCTGGGGCGGCAGCGGCACTCTCTGAGGTGCGTCGCGGGCAACCACGGCCAGCGCCCTGCGGTCGGGAAATCGTGGGAGAGCGTGTCGCCGGCGGCCCCGGCGACACGCCATGCCCCGCCAGCGGAGGGCGTGTCGCTCCGCTCCGCGAAGGCGGACGCCCCGGGAAAGCTCGGGACTCGGGGCGTTGGCGCCCCTTGGGGCCGTCAAGTGGGCAAGGAGTCGCACCGAGTCGCGGCGGGCCCGCCAGAGCCGGCGGAGCGACACGCTGTCCAAAAGTTCACGACCGTAGACCCCACCTGTCTGCTGCCTGCTTCGAGCCCGATCGGTCCGCGAGCATCCCGAGGCCCGGACAGCCCTGCGAGAGCGCCCGCTGCAGAAGATGTGCAACGCGCAGATCTCAGGGCTGGTGTCAGGTCGGGCATGTCCTCCTACAGAGGCGGATTTTGGAAGATCATTCTCTTGTGTATATTAAAAACGGTCGAACAAGCATAGACACTCGTCACAATACTATCATTCTACTATGTTGAAGATTCGCCCTGTAGAGGGACACGCCCGACTTAGGCTGGTAGCGGGATGGCTGCTGCCTGGGTCTTCGCCTTGCGCGTCTGCTCGTTCGTGGAGAGCTCCGTGTCGCACCACCCCTTGTGCTCGGCCTCCTCGTTCGCCTGTCCCGCGCAGCGAGGCTTGCCCTCAACCCTCCGGGGTCGAGCAGGGAGGCTGCTGGACGCACCCGCCGACCCTCGAGGATCGACCCCTGGAGGATCGAGGATCGAGCAGGGAGGAGCGCCTGCTCTTTGGTGCCTCTGGAGGCCTCGCGGGGCCTACCAGCGACCTCCGAGGACGTGCAGGGACGTCTGGGGTCCAGGCTCCCGGGAGGCACTAAGAGCTACCATGTCCTACCTGCGTGCTCACCCACCAGCTCCTTCTCATGATTCTTCTCTCCTGAGACCCCAAGACGCCCGAAGAGGCATCCAAAAGGCTTCCAAGAGACATCCGAGAGGCATTCGAGATGCTTTCTGCTGGTCCGAGAGGCATCCGAGAGGCACCCGAGAGGCATTCTGCTGGTCCTCGTCCTCCTCCTCCAACTCCTCCTACTCCTCCTCCATCTTCCTCCACGTCCTCCTCCTCCTCCTCCTCCTCCTCCTCCTCCAAGTCCTCCTCCTCCAACGCCTCCTTCTCCTCCTCTCCATCCTCAGTATCCCCACCCTCCTCCTCGAGCGACGAGAGCGCGGCTAGTGGCCGACACCCAGTGTCCCCCTCCAGCACATCACCCTGTCCACTGTGCCCTTCGAAACCCACCTGTCATCGTCATCATCATCGACATCATCGTCATCATTGTTGCCATCGGCCGTCATCGTCCTAGTTCGCGCCATCGTCGTCGTCTATACCCTCATCAACACCATCACCATCGCCAACATCAACACCAAGAAAACCACAAATATCGAAATCGTGTTCGTCCTCATCATCATCATCAACATCATCATCATCAGCAGCAGCATCGTCATGAATGTCTTCATCATCTTTATCATCATCGTCAGCAGCATCATCAGCATCAGCATCAGCATCACCGTCAACATCATCATTATCATCATCGTCATCATCATGTTCATCTTCATCATTATCGTCATCATCATTAGCAGCATCACCATCATCATCAGCAGCAGCATCATCATCATCGCCATCACAATGGGCATCATCGTCATCTGCTTCAGCATCCTAATCATCAGCATCCCCATCATCATAATCATAATCATCATCACCACCACCATCATCATCATCATCATCATCATCATCATCGTCAGCATCATCATCGTCAGTTTCTCAATCATCCCCATCATCCGCATGATCCCCAGCAGCATCATCACCACCATCATCACCATTCACAGCAGCAGCATCACCATCATCATCATCAGAATCATCAGCACCATAATCATCATGATCGTCCTCATCATCATCATCATCATCATCATCATCATCGTCCTCATCATCAACATCAGCATCAGCCTCAGCATCATCATCATCACCATCAGCATCATCATCATCGTCAACATCATCATCATCGCCATCATCATCCTCTTTATCATCATCAGCAGCAGCATCGCCGTCATCATCCTGATCATACTCGTCATCATGATGATCGACATCATCGTCATCATCATCGTTGTCATCGGCCGTCATCGTCCTAGTCCTCGTCATCGTCGCCGTCCTCTATACCCTCATCATCACCATCACCAGCATCGCAGTCGTCGTCGTTATGGACCCTCGCCAACAACACTACCACGAAAACCACAAATATCATAATGGTTACCGTCCTTCTCAGCATCATCAGCAGCAACAGCATCGTCATCATCACCATCATCATGATCATCAGCAGCAGCATCAGCATCATCATCGACATCAGCAGCATCATCATCATCATAATCACCAGCACCACCACCACCACCACCACCACCACCATCATCATCATCATCATCATCATCATCATCATCATCAGCATCATTATCGTCGTCGTCTTCATCGTCATCATCATCATCATCAACATCTCCTGCAGCATCCCCAGCATCAACATGATCCCCATGAGCATCATAATCACCACCACCATCATCATCGGCATCATCAGCAGCATCATCAGCATCATCATCAGCATCATCACCATTATCATCCGCACCATCAGCATCGTAATCATCATCGTCATCGTCATAATTAGCATCAGCCTTATCATCGTCATCATCATCATCATCAGTATCGGTATCGTCATCATCATCGCCATCATCATCCTCGTATCATCATCAGCAACAGCATCGCCGTCATCAGAAACACCATCATCATCACCGCCATCATCATCGACATCATCCTCATCATCGTTGCCATTGGCCGTCATCGTCCTAGTCCTCGTCATCGTCGTCGTTGTCGATATGCTCATCATGGCCATCACCAGCATCGTAGCAGTCGTCGTTATAGACCATCGCCAGCAGCACTACCACCAAAACCACAAATATCGAAACCGTTTTCGTCCTCCTCCTCATCATCAGCAGCAGCATCGTAATCATCATCATCATCATCATCATCATCATCATCATCATCATCATCATCATCATTATTCATCATCATCAGCATCATCATCAGCATCAGCATGACCATCGTCTGCATCATCAGCATCATTGTCATCATCATTATCAGCATCAGCATCATCATCCGCAGCATCACTGTCACTGTTGGCATCATCATCACCACCACCATCATCATCGCCATCATCATCATCATCATCATCATCATCGTCATCATCGTCATCTGCTGCAGAATCCCCATCATCAGCATGATCCCCATCAGCATCGTCGTCAACATAATCGTCATGAGCATCATCATCATTATCATCATCACCACCACATCACCATCAGCATCAGCATTATCATCATCGTCATCATCATCTTCTGCATCATCCCCAGCATCAGCATGATCCCCATCAGTATCATTATCACAAGCACCATCAGCAGCAGCAGCAGCATCAACAACATCAACTGCATCATCAGCATCATCAAGCTTAGCATAATCATCATCATCAGCCTCATCATCATCATCATCAATATCATCATCATCATCATCAGCATCATAATCGCCATCATCATCCTCTTCATCATCAGCAGCGCCATCGCCATCGCCATCCCCATCATCATCATCACCCCGACAACGATCCATTCAGACTGTTGCGACCCTCGCTCTTACATCGGGTCATGGGGCACGAGGCCAACGATCCGTGGCCAAGACACAAGGCAGCATGAGCCCTCCTCCCGCATCTCCTTCCCCAATATCCGACGCCTTAAGAAAAGCCAACGGCCCCCTTGAGGGCGCAAGGCTGGGAAGGATCCTGCTGGACTGATGTCTTCTTCTCTTGTGCTGCACCGTGTGTTGTGTCCCGACTCTCTTGTCCTGTCTTCACTGTACCGTCTCCTGCGAGGCCCGCACGGGCAAAAACAGAAACCACAAACAGCAAAAACAGAGGCCCCCCTTGTGGGCGCGAGGCTGTGAAGGATCCTGCTGGACTGATGTCTTGTGTTCTTGTTCTGCACCGTGTGTTGTGCCCCGACTCTCTGGGCCTGTCTTCAGTATACTCGGCGGTGGAGAAACCTCCCTTTAGTAAACCACCCTTTAGCGAAAACGGCCTGGGACCGGAACCGACGGACCGGGACCCGCGAAAAAGACGGCCGCGACGCCCTCTCGCGCACCGAAAACGGCCAATTCGCTAATCGACGTGTCAGGGTAGGAGGTCGATCAACCTCCAGTATACCTTCTCCTGCCAGGCCCGCGCGGACAAACGCAGAGAACACGAGCACAGCAAAAACACGGAGGCCATGCACCCTCAGGCCCCCGGGGGCCGCTCTGCGCTGCCCCAGGATTTTTCCCGCGGGGGCGCCACGAAGCGGCCCAGAGCCCCGCAGAGGTCTCGAGGCTCCAAAACGCCCCGGGGAGAGCGTCAAGGGCCCAAGTCGGGCGATGGCAGGACTGGGTTTAGTTGGACCTGGTGTAGTGATCTGTACTGGGGATGCCCCCCCCGTCCCAGTCCACTAACCGAAATTGCCGTCGCCCGAAAAGCACCAGCTACGGCAGACCTGGTTTAGCGATTCCAATCCAGATGTCGGGCTTCGGGGACCAGTCACTAACGGGCTCCCCTTACACCAGGGTCCTGGCTATACCCGACCAAGGCGGCCGAAGAGGGGCCAAATGCTTCCAAGATGCAGTGGGAGGGCCCCAGGCGCCCCCAGGAGATAGCAACAAGGCATTGAAAACCTGTGCACGCTCCATGCGATCTGCCTCTCCGGTGCTTCACTCGAGAGGTGCCTCCGGAGCGCTTCAGGACAGACCCCCCGGGCGCCCGAGAGTGCCCCAGACGGCCCCCGAGGAGGCCAAGGCCCCGGGACGCTGCCCCGAAGACGCCCCGAGATGGCCCCCGGAGGGCCCCGACACGGCCCCCCCAAGACGGCCGCGTGGTGACTCAGCCCTGGGGCCGGCGGCCGCAGGCGCAGCCCCTCGGAAGAGCCGACCTGCTGCCGGCCCCCGCCTCGCTGCGGCGCCGCCCGAGCCGTGCCGGTGCGTGGCGGGGCCCTCGGGCCCAGCACGGGGCAGAGTCCCCCCTGGTCGTGGTGCCCTGCGGGCTCGATCGGCGAGGCCTTACGGCCGGTGCCGCCGACCCTGAACGACGACGACGACGACGACGACGACGACGACGACGACGACGGCGACGACGACGACGAGGATGGTCGTGGTTCTCCTACGGGTTCGATCGACATTCGAGCGGCACCTGGTGGGGGATGTCGGGGGCCCAAGCTCGGAGGTCGATCGTGGCCCCCTCCCCCTCTAACGAGGCCCCCCGTCGCGGCCCCCCATCGTGACCCCCTATCCCTGTCCCCTTCCATCTCGGCCCTCCCCATCCCTCTCCCTACCTCTCGCCCTACCCTACACCTATCCCGGATCCCGATCCCAAGGCCTAATCCCGATCCCTATCACTATCCATTTTCCCAATATCCCCAAACCTGTCCCTGGTTCTCGCTACACGTCTCCCCACATCCCTATCCCTTTCCCTCTTGTCCCTATCCCTGTCCCCCATCGTGCCCCCCACCCATCGTGAGCGTGGAACTAGTTAGTCTTCTGCCGCAGCGGTGTCAGCCCCGTTCACAGCGCCCAGATCGGAGGCTTCTCCCCATCCTGCTCCTCTTTCGCCTCCTCATCACCCTTGCAAGCACAGTTCTGGCATGAAGATTGGATAAGGAACGAAGCCCTTTGGGGGCCTCAGTTGCGCTTAGATGCACGGGGAGCCTAAGAGGAAGACCCAGGGAAGGATCTAAGGAAAATCGAGCATGTTTTCCAAAGTAAGCCTCATTCCGAAATTCTGACTGCACACATGCTTCTGCCTCGCCTGTCTCTGCCCGACCCTCATCTTCATCCTCATCCTCCCACCCGGCGGCGAGCGAGGGAGGGAAGCGAGAAGGAGGAGGTCTTCTCAGAAGGCTGGGAAGTCCCCCAGCCTTCCGAAAGTTGTCGAAACCTTCCCCGTAGACACAGAACACTCTCGGAAGGGGGCGAGGGCTTCTGAGAAGCCCCGCCGCATCTGAGAAGGCCTTCACCTTCTCACTTCCTCCCCTCGCTCGCCGCCGACCTACTTGTCCCTCCCCACCCTCCCCTTAATTCGAGAGTCGTTGGTCCGATCGAGACCAACCGACCGCTTCCCCGTGAGAAGCTCAGCGTCCCTGATCCATTCGCCCTGGTCTCGGGGACCGAAAAAGGCTGCCAGAGGACGACACTCAGGGAGAGCGCCGCGGATTGAAAAATCAATCCTGCGGAAATCTGGGTTCACTCCGGCGCTTACCTCCCCGATAGGCAAGACGCAACCCGCAGCGTGTTGACACGGAGCTCAAACCGTACACCGAAAACGAACGTTTGGCGCACTGCGTTCGCCAACGCGTGGGCCAACTCGTTGAGCCAACGCGCAGCGTGTGGCCACGGACGTTGTGCTGCGTCTCAAAAAGCAAGAGACCCCAGAATCGAATCGATGTCGAATCGGCGATCGAAATGCATCGGATCGGCGGAGATCGGCAGCCGAACCAGGAGCAATCAAATCGGCGGAAATCGGCGGGCTGAGAAGGTCAGTAAGACATCGGAATCCGAGGCCGAATCGAATCGAACTGCACAGCCATTGGAGCCGAATCGAATCGCATCGGAGGACTCGAAACGAGCCCTGCCAGGGGCTCAGGTCGGGGGGCGGAAAGGCGAGGCAGGGGCAAAGGTGGGGCTGGGAGGAGCATCGCTCCAAACGGCTTCTGGACGAAGGACACGGTGCATCCAGATGGGTTCGATCCCCCGCCCCACCTTGGGACAGCCCTCCCTCTACAATGGGGACCCGACCACAAGGAACCTTCTACTGGAAACCCAACCCTGAGACCCGAGGCCGTCCATGGATGTTTGGCGCGGGAGCGTCACGCTTTCCATCGCAAAACCATCGGAACCCGAGAAGACCAGGGCACCCTGGCGGCAAGCAGGGTGCTTCTTGGCATGGGCCTCCACTTGGGGGGGAGGAGGAGGAGGACGGGGAGGAGGAGGAGGAGGAGGAGGAGGAGGAGGAGGAGGAGGAGGAGGAGGGGGAGGAGAGGGAGGAGGAGGAGGCGGAGGAGGAGGAGGAGGATTTTTAGACCCACTGTGGGAGGCCTCGAAAAGGGGGGGGGCCTCCCCGGCGCCACGGGGCAGACCTCTGCGCCCCGATCCGCCAGGGGGAGAGCAGGCCGTGCGCTGCCGGCCAACTCAGGCCGAAGCCGAAGGGAGCCGTCCCTGATGCAACAACACATTTACACTAAAAACAAACCCAAAAAACAACAATAATAATAATAACAACAACAACAACAACAACAACAATCACTTTACCCGAACGCTCAGTGTTCTCACCAGTGCCAGGGTTTTCATGCGACGCCAGCCAATACCCCCACTTTGTGGGGGGGCAGTGCAAGCTCTACCAAATATCCACACGACTCTTCGCCACCACCCACACCCAGCTTCCCGCCCTATGACGTTCGGACACTTCACTTCGTGGCCTGCGGACGACCGTGGCTACTACACTGGCGTGGAGTACACACCCACAGAAGTTGTTAAGCCTACGTTCGTACACCCACAGAAGTTGTTAAGCCTTGTTAACCCACAGAAGTTGTTAAGCCTTCCACAGAACATCTGTTGCATATGATGCATATGGTACATGATACGAATGTGAAGAAAAAACGAATGTGTCCCGCATGGTATTATTTGACAGGGATGATGGCCCTGGCAGGTGCGCAACCGTTGTCGCAGAAGTTCGAAAAAGTTGCTCGCAAAAGCCCGTTTGACAGAAATGTTTAAAAAGTGTTGGGTTTCCTACGAATCCGCAAGAGCGCGCGGGATGAGATTTTGACAATTTTTTGTTGAAAAACCATTGGTTTTTTGATGTTTTTATGTTAAAATCGCTGCGAACACTAAGGTTTTGGAAGGATTTCGTCTTGCGCGCGCGAATGTCCACTTTACCTTATTTTTTGCAAGGGATTCTTGAAATTTGATTATATTAGAACAAGAAATGTCATTTTCTATTGTTTTTTGCAAGGGAAAGCGGATTACAACAAAACAACCGGATCCTGTACACACCCTCTTTTCTGAGGCTTCCTCACGAAAATGATGAAAATGTAGCTGCGGCCTAGGCGGCGCAGGGGGGGCGCGCACCAGGGGGCCCAACAATAATTATTCTTTAGAATAAATAATGTTCAACAACAACAACAACGACGACGACGACGACGACAACAACAACAACAGCAACAGCAGCAGCAGCAGCAACAACAACAACAACAGCAACAGCAACAGCAACAGCAACAACAACAACAACAAAAACAACAACAAAAACTAAGGGAACACGGAAGGGAGACCGAAGGTCGAGACCGAAGGGCATGTGATCCCAGAGGCCCAGCGCACGGGAGCCAAGAAGGGAAAAGGTTTTCGTCATGGTCGGCCTCCTGGGGCCCTTCCCGGGCACCGGGGCCGTCCGAAAAATACTCGGGGTGAGAAACTGACCCTGGGCAAGGGCTCGGGACTCTCAGGGACCCCGCACTCCAGAAAATCAAAGCATCGGATCTCTGAGCTGGAGGGTCTATCGTCGGCACATCGGGACCGCATCGGGTCGAATCGGATCGGGGCGGCCGGGGTCGACATCGGCCCAGATCCATCGGATTCAGATTGGCCCTGCGACCTCCTTGACCTTCTAATAATCCATCCGCGTGGTCTCCTTCTCGTCCTGGTCGTCATCCTCACATCATTCCTTCATCGCTCGCCGTCGTCCTCCACGTGTTCCTGCCAGTCATCCCTTACTCCGAAGCACTGTGTCCAACGACCTCGCGATCAAATACATCATCGTGCCCATCCTCCTGTTATCCTCTTCTTCCGCCTCCTTTTCCCCACGGAGCACCTCTTCAAGCAACCTCGTGATCAAGTCCTTGATCATTTTCTTAACTTTCCTGAAGGGGTCCGACTCCACGTGCGTCGCAACCTCAACAGGCACATCAACCAGTCGGGAGAAGAAGACCCCCCCCTGCAACTCCTTGTGCTCTCGCTGCTGCTGCCACTAATACTACCAACCAAAAAAAAACTCGACGACTACTACTACTACTACTACTACTACTACTTCTACTACTACTACTACTACTACTACTACTACTACTACTACTACTACTACTGCTACTACCTACTACTACTACTACCACTACTACTACTACTACTACAACTACTACTACTACTACTACTACTACTACTACTGCTAGGGCTCCTGCGGCAACCACTAAAATACTTCTTCTCCTACTACTACCACTACTACTACTACTACTACTACTACTACTACGACTACGACTACGACTACTACTACTACTACTACTACTACTACTACTACTACTAGTACTAGTACTAGTAGTACTACTACTACACTACTACTACTACTACTACTACTACTACTACTACTACTACTACTACTACTACTACTAGTACTACTACGACTACTACTACTACTACTACTAATACTACTACTACTGCTACTACTACTACTACTACTACTACTACTACTACTACTACTACTAATAATCATAATACTAGTACTACTACAATTACTACTACGACTTTTGAGACTACTACTACTGCTACTACTACGGCTACTACTACTACTACTACTACTACTACTACTACTACTACTACTACTATTATTACTACGACTACTACTATTACTACTACTACTACTACTGCTGCTACTACTACTACTACTACTACTACGACTACTGCTACTACTACTACTACTACTACTACTACGACTGTCATTACGACTACTTCGACGAAGGCCACTACTACCACGACTACTCTTACTACAACGACGACTACCACTACGACCACTACTACGACTACTACTACTACTACGACCACTACTACGACCACTACTACGACTACGCCTTCTACTACTACTACTACTACTACTACTACTACTACTACTACTACTACTACTACTACTACTACTACGATTACTACTACAACTGCGAATACTGCCACTACGGCTGCAATTATTATTACCACTACTATTACTACGACCTTCACTGCTAATGCTATGTTGCAATCACCACTGATACTGCGACCAACACTGCTAATACTACCGCGACTGCTACCAATACGACTACACCTGCTACTACTGCTACTACTACTACTACTACTACTACTACTACTACTACTGCTACTACTACTACTACTACTACTACTACTACTACGGGTACTACTTCTCCTACTACTACTACTGCTACTACTACTACCACTAATACTACCACTACTACTACGAGTACTACTACCACTACTACTACGACTACTACTATGACCACTACTACTACTACTACTACTACTACTACTACTACTACTACTACTACTACTACTACTACTACTATTACTACTGCTACTACTACTATTACTAAGACTACTTCCACGATTACTGCTAGTACTACTACGACTACTACTGCGACGACTCCTACTACTACTACGACTACGACCATTACTACTACTACTACTACTACCACCACTACTACGACTACTACGGCGAATATTACTACTACGACTACTACTACTACGACTACCACTACTACTACTACTACTACTACTACTACTACTACTACTACTACTACTACTACGACTGCTTCTACTACTACTGCTACTACTTCTACTGCTGTTACTACTACTACGACGACTACTACTACTGCTACGACTACTACTACTACTATTACTACGACTACGACTACTACTACGACTACGACTGCGACTACTACTACTGCTAGAATTACAACTTCCCCGACCAATACTACAATTACTACTGCTACGGCTACCAGCATTACTACTAGTGTTACTACTGCGAGTAGTACCACTGGCAATATAACTACTCAGGCTACTAATACGACCACGACTACGATCACTACCACAACTACTACGACGACTACGGCTACGACTACGACTACTACTACTACTACTACTACCACTACGACTACTACTACTACTACTACTACTACTACTACTACTACTACTTCTACTACTACAACTACTACTACTACTACTACTACTACTACTACTAGTACTACTACTACTACTACTACTACTACTACTACTACTACTACTACGACGGCTACGACTACTACTATCACCACCATCACCACCACTACTACTACAACTACTACTACGACTACTACTACTACGACTACTACTACGACTACTACTACGACTACTACTACTACTACTACTACTACTACTACTACTACTACTACTACTACTACTACGACTACTACTACTACTACTACTACTACTACTACTACTACTACTACTACTACTACTACTACTGCTACGACTACTACTACTACTACTACTACTACTACTACTACGACTACGACTACTACTAACGACGACGACGACTACTAGTACTACTACTACTACTACTACTACTACTACTACTACTACGACTACTACTACTACTACTACTACTACTACTACTACTACTACTACTACTACTACTACTACTACCACTACTACTACTACTACTACTACTACTACTACTACTACTACTACTACTACTACTACTACTACTACTACTACTACTACTACTACTACTACTACTACTACTACTACTACTACTACTACTACTACTACCTGCTACTACTACTACTACTACTACTACTACTACTACTACTACTACTACTACTACTACTACTACTATTACGACTACGACTACTACTACGAGTACTACTACTACGATTAGTACTACTACTACGATTACTACTACTACTACTACTACTACTACTACTACTACTACTACTACTACTACTACTACTACTACTACTACGACTACTATTACCCCTACTAGTGCTATTACCGTCATACTACCATGATGATTTCTAATACTTCTACTACTACCACGAGGGTCACGCGTCACGTTCGTGTCTACCGAAAATGTATGGTGAAAGGGTAGGGGTTCGGGTTAGGTTGCGGGTTCGGGTCCGATTTCAAACGCACTAGACCAGGCATGGAATAGGAATGCGCTACAACAGGAATGCAGGTATAATAAGATTGGAAAACAATCCGCAGGCCCCCTTGCGGGGCCACCAGGCTGTAGGTTGGGAATGTGCTGCTTCCTGTACCAGTTGCAGCTTCTAGTTTCCACTGTTGCAGTTCTGCTTCTTGCTGCTTACTGTTCCTTGTTGATGAACGCGCGACGGGGGGGAGCCCAAACCAGCAGGACTACCACGCCCTGGGAGGATTCTCAGAATTTCTGGGGGGGAAATTCACACCCCTCCACAGATCCGCAGGGTCAGGGTCAAACAGCCACATTTTTGAACTTCAGTGACACCCCTCACGCAGATCGGCGGGGTCGGGGTCAAAAAACAAATGGGATTTGCCACATTTCTAAAATCCAGTGGCACCCCTTACGCAGATCGGCGGGGTCAGGGTCCAAAAACACAAGGGATGCGCCACATGTTTGAAATCCGGTATCACCCCTCACGCAGATCGGCGGGGTCAGGGTCCAAAAACACAAGGGATGTGCCCCATTCTTGAAATTCGGTATCACCCCTCACGCAGATCGGCGGGGTCAGGGTCCAAAAACACAGGGGATGTGCCACATGTTTGAAATTCGGTAGCACCCCTCATGCAAATCGGCGGGGTCAGGGTTCAAAAACACACGGGATGTGCCACGTGTTTGAAATTCGGTGGCACCCCTTGCGCAGATCGGCGGGATCAGGGTTCAAAAACACAAGGGATGCGCCACATTTCTGAAATCCAGTATCACCCCTCACGCAGATCGGCGGGGTCAGGGTCCAAAAATACGAGGGATGCGCCACATTTCCTAAATCCGGTGGCTTCCCTCACGCAGATCGGCGGGGTCCGGGTCCAAAAACAAACAAATCCCGACACTGCTTCACGGCGGCGCCCAGACCTCATGATTTAGCTTTTGCATTTCCCATTATCCGAAACCGGGGGCCGGCGGCATGGAACGAAGCCCTTACGGATAAACATGCAAAAGGACACGCCCCCTTTCCGAGACATCCGACGATATGTTTTGTCAATCCGCTGCCCAGGGAAGCCCGGACCGCCTCCCCAGGAGCATTTTTTTCTCGTTGGAGCCGCTGTGGTGGTCCCCACGCAAGAAAAAATCCACTGGAGGTGGAAATCCAAGAATCTCCAGAAGTCCAAAAGAAACGCCCGTCGTGAAAAAAACGCCCTGATCTCAGGGGAGGAACAGCAGCAACAGCAGCAGCAGGACGCGGCTCTGCCCCGGGCTGGAGGAAATTCCTTGAGACGTACCCATTCCTTTTTGCACGCGAGGCGGCTATGTATATAAACGCTTTGCACGACAGAAGGCGTTGCCATAGATGCGGGGCTTTGAAACGCTTCGCCAAAAAACGTCGGGCAACGCGCTTCGCGCAAGTCGCGAACCTGCGCATCTCAGATCGAGCCAAGGCTCGCGCAACCATGAGTGCACACCTATGCGGCGACGATGGGCACGCCAAGGAACATGGAACGGGGAGGAAGAGGGGCGCGGAGGACATGGAGGATGAAGAAGGAAGGGGAAGACATACGGATGATAGCAACACCGCCATGCGCCACGTTCGCTCGGTTCGCCAGCGCTGCTGCTGCGGGCGACATTCGCCGGAGGGGATGGGGGCGGGCAACTAAGGACAGCGCCATGCGCTACATGACGGCTCAACGCCCTGCGCTCTGTCACGCCACAGCGCCACGCGCTGAATGAAGGGGCACCGCCACGCGCCATGGCCGGCACGCAGGCGCGTGCCTCCCATGCTCGACAACTCGTCGCCCGTTGCAAGCATCGCCGACGGCGCCGCCAAGGTTGCAGCCCATGCGCTCGCACGCCTGGAACCCGCTTGAAGCTCTCCTCCGTTCGGTCGCGCACACGTTTGCAAGGCCGAGCGCGCGCGCCATCTTCAAGAACTGCTTCCTGCAGTTTTCCGTACGAGCACTGAAGTTCGGAAACGCGCGGCCGGGTCTGCCGGTCGCCCCGAGGACAAGAAGTCCAAGCCTGGGGCGCGGATGACGAGGAGGTTGTCAAACGCGGTCGCCCTGGAAACCATGACGACCAGGTGTAGCCAGAGAGCGTCCAAATCGTCCGCGTCTTCCTGCCCGTCGTCAACGATAACGCACTCGTGCATGGTCCGCCCCAAGGCCGTCGACGTGTGCACATTGGCGTGGGAGCTGCCAGGTCTCCGCCGGATCTGCGTGGCCCCCCACTCCGCTGGACCTCACAGGAGCCCACGAAAGTGGCGACGGGTGCGCACTTCGCAGCCACCCAGAAAAGAGCCGCGAGGTCTCGGCTGGATCTGCGCGGCCCTCCACTCCGCTGGACCTCCCAGGAGCCCACGAAAGTGGCGACAATTGCGAACTGTGCAGCCACCCAGGCAGCCGCGAGGTCTCGGCTGGATCAGCGTGGACCCCCACTCCGCTGGACCTCCCAAGAGCCCACGAACGTGGCGACGGCTGCGCACTTCGCAGCCGCCTCCCAGGAGCCCACGGACATGGCGACAAATGCAAACTTCGCAGCACTACATGGAGCCGCAAGGTCTCGGCTGGATCTGCGTGGCCCTCCACTCCGCTGGACCCCCCCCCCAGGCGCCCACTAGAGAGGCGACAGCTGCGCACTTCGCCTCCCAGGGAGCCCTCCGGGCAGGGCTGCGAGGCAGGACGGCGACGTAGGATGCAGGGCAGCAGGCAGGTACGATACTGTCGGGCTACACAGCCTTTGAGGGTGGCTGGCCCCATCTACGGCTGTATGGAACTGGAGGAAAACTGCCACTGGGCGCCGCTGCCGACTGGGCAGGAAGAGGGAGAGGAGGCGGGAGAGGAGGGGTGGAAACCACAGTGCTCTGCTCTCTACTCAAGACGAGAACCCCACCCACAAGAGAGCTGGGAAGAACACGAGGGACCGATTCCGCTAATTACTCCGCGGGCCTCTCCCGCCTGGCCAAGACTTCGAGGGGGGTCCCGCCGTGGCTTCGAGGACCTCCCAGGAGGCCCAAACAGGCGAAATTGGCTCTAAGTTCTGGATTGACGACGACGACGACGACGACGACGACGACGACGACGACGACGACGACGACGACGACGACGGCTGGGCTCTTCAAGACGACAGACGCTCAATCGGCGCTATATCATTGACTCCAAGGCGCTAGTCGACGCTAATCCACGCTAAAGACAAAATTACGAGTGTACACAAGGCTCCCATGATTTGCTACCGAACAAGAGCCTACAGGGGGCGGGCGAGGGGGGGAAGTGCGAAGGAGAAGGCCCTCTCACAGAACGGCGGGGTTTCTTATGCTTCTCGCCTTCTGAGGAGTCCTCAGTGTCTTCGAGGATGGCTTAGACAGCTTCTCAGAAGGCTGGGGGGGGATCCCGAGGCTTCCGAGAAGGCCTCCTCCGCCTCGCTGCCACCCCGGGCCCGCTGCCGAAGCTGAGCTGCCGGTGCGCACCCGTGGGGGCCTCCCAAATCAGAGAAACTATGGATTCAGTTTGTGTCGGGGTTTCGGATTTCTGCTATGCCTGGCGGCCCATGGGGGCCAGACGGCGCGAGGAGGCGGAGGAGGAGGAGGAGGAGGGGCCATCTGTGGTTGTGGCTCCTGTCTCTCTCTCTCTCTCTCTCTCTTCGGACCCTATCTTGAAGATGGGGTCCGAAGAGAGAGACAGGACTGCTTGGTGAGGATGCGCGGCAGGGCGGCAAAGCCCCTCGGGCGCCCGTGCTGCAGCTCGCTCGAGCGTGGCGGGCCACCGGAAGTGGTCGAGGAGGGGCCACGGACCGCCTCCTTTCCACCTCCGTGATCCTCCTCCATCCTCCTTCCTAGAGTGGGATGAGGAGGAGGAGGAGGAGGAGGAGGAGGAGGAGGAGGGGGAGGAGGATTTCGGGTTTCGGGGTACATGGGGCGCCTGTGTGCACGCACAGCCCCACGCGGTCAGCCTCGAGTTAGGGCCAGCCTCAAATGTAAAACAAACCTCTTCCGGGCGCGGGGAAGGACACGCCACTCTTCGGGGGTTTGCCCTTGGCCAACCGAGGAGGAGCGGAAGGACTACTTCGAGTGCGATTGCCTCTTGGACCTCTTCGAAGCCTGGCCTGGCTCGACCCGTCTTCGACACGCGAGCGGCTGGGGCTGGACTAGGCTGGCGGCCTTTTCCAGGAAGGTTACCCATCCTGACCACCGGTTTCGATTGTAGATGGGGTCGGAGGATCAGGCCACATCGGCGATGCATCGCCGATGCACTAGCGATGCACAGGGCGACGCCGACGACGCATCGGCGACGTCGGCGTGGAGGAACATCGGGCTCCACATCGAGCCGCATCGCCGATGCATCGGCGATACGGCGCGATCCTCCGATCCCATCGAATCTGACCCCATCTGTGAGGCCAAGATTAGAAAAAGGAAAAAAACACATAAACATACACTTTTGGCGCTCCGCGCGGATTTCTCGGATCCGCGCTGGAGCGCGCCAGGGGCGGCGCTGGAGGCGCCGCCGGGGGGCCCAGGCGCGGATCCAAGAAATCCGCGCGGAACGCCAAAAGTTTATGTTCATATGGTGCGTTCTTATTCGAATCTGGGAGGCCAAAATACTGGAGCAGGAGAGGATCAACGGGTTCGTGTTTTCCTTCGGTCGGCCTCCCACCAGCTGCGTAGTGGGACTCTGCTCTCGGGCCTGCTCGGCTGTAGGCTCGGACCGAAGAACTGTGGAACTGCACCGAACGCTGCTGTTCATGCGCGGAGCTAACCTTAGGTCGGGCATGTCCCCCTACAGGCGAATACTTTAGACTGGAAATTACAGAGACCCCCAAAATGCTCAAAAATGAGCAAACAAATACCAGAAAAACCGTGCCCAGACCATTTCCTCCTGTAGGCCCGACTTAAAGCTAACCCATCTTGGGAGGCCTAGACCGCGGGAAGAGAAGTCAGCATCAGCGCACAGCCCTCGTGCGGGCATCCGGAGCGCTGCCTCGGGAACGAAGGGGCCCTCCTGGCCCCGGCGAGCCTCGGCCTCGAACGGGCCCCCAGCATGTGGCGGACTCCGGGAACCCTGAACCCAAAAACGTGTTCGTCTCTTGGGGGTGCATCCTCCACTTCCGCCGCCTTCCGCCAGCCTTCCGCCGGCTTCCGCCGGCGGAGGCGGCCCCGTCTTACTTCCGCCGCCCTTCCGCCGCCCTCCGCCGAGGAAGAGATGGCCACCCCTTCGATCCTCGGAGGCAAGGCCCTTTTTGGAGCGCCTCACGTGATGCAGTGCGGGCGCGGCCGCAGGAAACCCTCGCAAGAAACCCACCCCTGAGAACCCGTGCGCGAGGTGCACCTGAGGGGAAACCTGGAGCACCCTGCACGCAGCAGCTCCTGCCACGGCTGGGGGAAGTCACCGCGCAGAGCGCGAGGAGCGAAGAGAAACCCAGGATACCCTGACGAGAAGCACCTGGCTTCTTGATGCGCGCCCCCACTGTATGCTGGTGCTCTCGGCCCGACCTCCGCGCTCCCCGACGGCGTCCCAGAGCGTGCTCGAGCCGCGCGGAGAGGCACGACGAGCGGCGCCAGGGGCGCCGGGGGGGGCCCGCCGAGGCCGCGCCGGAGGCCCGCCGCGGCCGATTTGTGCTCGACGTGGTTCCCTTCCCTTGGGCAGGGGCCTTGAGATAGAAGGAACGGCCCGAAGCAAGGAGCCCCTCGGACGGACAGACGGGCGCGCACATCCGGCGCACCCAGAGGCCCGGCCCCTGGGGCCGCAGCCCCGCACGCGCTGATGAGCCCGATGCCCACGGCAACGTCCCCACACGGCTGCGAAGGGAAGAACCAATGCGCTAATCACCGGCGTGGTCGCAGACCCAGACCCCCTCGGGCCGTGGAAAAATCGTGACGGGAGGTGTTTCGCTATTTTCGGCCTCTGGGGGCCCTTACCGGCCCTCGGGGCCGTCAAAAACGACTCAGGATGAAAAACCGGTCCAGGGGAATGGGTCGAGACCTCCAGGGGTCGACGTAATGAAAAAATCATGACGTCGGGGGTTTGGGGAACTAGATCCACTGAGAGCCAATCCACTGGTCACTGGCGCGAGGGAAGGACCCACAGTCCACCAGTGGGAGTACCAGAATCCATCCATCAAAACGGAGCCCCTCCTGGGCCCGAGGTGTGCTTGGCTTCAGCGTCTTGGCCCCGAAGGGGTCCTCGCTGCTGGGGAACCCAAAAGGCACCGATGCCGCTACCCCCTCGAACCTCTCCCGGGGTGCGTTCTGACCAGAATCTCAAGGCGAACCCAGCGGTGGCGACGAGGGCCTCCCAGGAGGCCCAAAAAGGGGAGCACGGCCCAAGGGTAGAGGTGTGGGTACCTTTTCCTCCT